TTCTGGAATCTTAATTTTTTATTATAACACTAAATATTTATTTAAATATTTGATTATTATTCAATTTATCTTAATAATCAGAAAACTTCTGGGGAAACAATAACCATTAACATACTCAAAAAAAGGTCAGTGAATATTCAAGCTGAGGGTTTATATACAAGTCCACGTCAACATATCAAATTGCAGGACAGTCTAACCACTGGGCAAGCAAAAAATGGGAGCACAGTGAATTTCGGCAACAGAACCAAACAGTGCTTTATTTTTTCCCTAGAAAATCTCCAGTGCAGCATCCTGTGCTAGTACCTGGTGCACAGGGAAAGGGCTGTTTCTGTTCCTCCAATACCAAGTACTAGCTAACCACAAACTCATTCTTTCCAAGGATGAATGCCGAGTCAGAGCATATACTATATTTTTAATGTAACCCTATGAATGAAATGTATAGACCAAAAAAAAAAAAAAAAAACCAAACAAAAAAACCAAATTCATGGTGGGCATGGTGTTGTGTGCCTGTAATCCCAGCTACTTGGGACACTGAGGCAGGAGCACTGTGAGTTCAAGGCCAACCTGGGGAATTTAGCAAGACCCTGAAGACCCTGCCTTCAAAAAAAAACAAAACAAAAAACTGTATCTTCTTTAGCTCTTATATGATTTTGAAGTTTCATCAGTAAGAGTTGTAGAACCAATCAAATACTCTGAAAGGGAATGGGAGTGATTCTTTGGAGAAACTAAAATTGGAAAATTCACTTCTTCAGTATTTTTCAAAACTTCCCTTGCTCCTCTCAAAGATTTGGTTCCCTGTGAAACTAAGAATAATCTCAGTGTGAACAGATACCAATTTAGAGAGTTTCCTATTTGGCATTTTATTAATTCTACAAATATTACCTGGAAAACTGTCATGTGCAACAACACACATGAAGAAAATCAGTAAATAAATGTTAGTAGAGTACTTAATGGGAAGGGTTAGATCATGCCATTGAGAGGTGAACAGATCTCAGTTCAAATTCCACCTCAAGCACTTCCTACTAGTGTAACCACGGCAAATCCTTTTCACCTCAGACTAATTACCACCAGGATTGCCATGAGGGTGAATGAAACACCCCATGAAAGGCCTGGCATGATCCCACAGTAATCAGACATTCCTGAGTGCTTGTTTTCCACCAGGTAAGGACTGTGGTACTTGTTCTTCTGGCTGACAGGAAAAATGATACAATTAAGTCAATATACATCTTAAATACACACCTGGGATACATTGGGCATTTCAAAGACAACTAAGAGGGTCTCACATCCAACCAGAGTTTAAGGAAAGCTCATCTAGAACAGCTTTGAGCTTCTGGTGGCCACTATATCACCCAGGTTAGGAAAAGGAGGAGGTGTACCTTGACAGGGAATGTCAGGAATGAGAGAAGGGACCTTGGTGGCTGAGAGAATCTGTGAACAAAAGTGATACTCAGTGACATCATTTACATGCACTAGGTAGGACACATACTCTCCTTGTCCTCAAGACACTCATGAGGCTAGAAGGGCAACTTCTTTAAATACAAAGCAAAATGGGCAATTGTTGTGAACTTCAGGAGGTTTAAATGCCTGAGACCAAGTAAAGAGACTAAGTGATCACTTTTAGACAGGATCAGAAAAAACAGAGGAATGACATAAACTTCCACCAAGCCCCAACTGTACATTAGGCTCTGCAATAGGCACTTAAACAAGGCTAATTCCAAGAGCTACTCAAATTTCTTCCTTATTTTAAAGGTGAGGGAAATGGGGCTCAAAGACGTGTTCCCTTACCTAGGCTCCCTACTGGGAAGAGGATGTGCCCCCAGACTGGTACTCTGCCTCCACCACAGTGGTGCTTGCCACATAGGTCACAACGAGGAGAGACTGTTTACACTAACATACAGAGCTTCCATGGACTCTGAGCAGAAGTAATTCTTCAGTTAAGTTAAGACTTCCTCAGCCAGGCCCTACAAACAAGCAGCAACCCCACATCCCAGAGAGCAGGGTCTATGTGAGTGCTCCAAGAAAGAGGGAGCCATTGCTCCTACCCAGGTGCCCTCAACACCTTGCCCACATGACTATGGATACGGCCTAGATAAGCAGGTTTCCCATAAAGTACCAAATGACAAGTACTGATTTGTTCAGAACCCTTCTTGTTCAGTGCCCCTGGACTTCTTTCATGATACCTCTCTAATCCTCTCTTCAGCATTCACTCTCCCTCTCCATGCTTGAAACACAACTCTGCTCAGGTCTTGGAGGACTTGTTGCCTCTCAAAGGAAAGTCTTCCACAGTATAAAATCTACTTCACAGCAGAAGCAAGAGGAGGAAAAAGGCTTGAGTGCTCAGTAGAAATAAAAGTGAGTGGGGAAAAAAAAACGAGAGGGGAAGACAGCAATACTAGGTTCAGAGAGGTCCCAGCAGGAGACACAGATTTAAGAGACTAAGAGACGTATTCTAGGGAAAAACCAACCAAGTGAAAGAATTAACACTCTCAAGGGAAGCACTTCAAAGACCAGGGAAGGGTAAGAGGGTAAGAGGCAACAAAGTGGTAGGAGAGAGTACAAAAGAGGCCACTTAGCTCAGTGACCAAAATCCACGGGCTCTGATCTTAATAGTCTAGCCACCCAGAAAGGAGGTGAGAAGGAATAGAATTATTTCTGTTCTCTCATGAGCACCAGGCTCACATATCTTTGGAGCTCTCTGAGAGATTTAAAATGCAGACCTTGGCACTGGCTATGCTGCCGCACCATATGAGCCTTCATGCTGTGCTTGGAGGTGAAGATTCTGTTGCAGCTGGACACTGGGCAGCGGCTTTTCGGAGCACCCACATCCTGAAGGTGCTTCTTAGAGTGAATGTACAGACTACTGCGAGCGGAGAACCTAGCACAGCACCCTGGAACAGAGAGGAATGAGTTATACCTGAGGAAACCAAAGAACAATTCCTCATCAGATCAGAATCATAAGATTACGTTCCCAAGCACCAGTCACTTGGAAGGGATGAACACTGACCAGCCCCAGAAGTAGCACCACAAGGAGTAAAAATCCAAAGCAAGTCGTTTTTAAAAGGCCAAAAAAATAACCAAGTCTTGTGTCTGCCATGGCTAAGATGTGTGACTTTGGGTAACTCTTCCCGTTTCTTCCCCCACTACATGGGGTTGTTGGCAAGACTAATTCAAAACAACTCCAGCATGTTCGGTTACAAAAAATATATATTAGTCACCCCTATTAAGCTATTACTATAAAACTACAACCCTATGATATTAAGAATTAGAACTATCTCAACAGATCACCAAACCCAACTTCTTTCATTTTACCACTCTGAAGCTGATACTCAGAGACTGGGCAATGTTCCTAAGTCAAGGGCATGAGTGGAGCCAGAGCTGCCATTTCCCTGATCACAGTCTATTCACTTCCATCTCCAATCTGTATAAAATCACCAGAGGTAAACACAGGACAAACTAAAAATTACAACCACTTTCCCTTCATACCCTGCTTTCCTATATATTGGAGTTCTGCTCCATACAGACACAGAAAGGGGAAGTGGAATTCTTGCAGCCAAAGGCTTGTGATATGGAAGGACTTGCAAACAATCAGCGCTTATAATAAAGGGCAGAATAAAATGAGTGCTAAAACAATGAGCTGCTCTAGAAGCAGAGGAAATGGGATACCTCCTGAGAAGATAAAAAAAAGATCTCACGAGCAGGTAGCAGTGAAGGGTGTTCCAGGCCAAGGGAGCTACCCAGCTATGGCATGAGTGACTGGATTCCAACTCTAGCTCAGCTATCTATTAGTTATTAAGTAAGTTATCCTTTGCAGAAGTCCTTTTTCTTTCCTGAAAAATGGGTAAAATACTTAACTCATAGGGTTGTGAGGACCAAATATAGCTATACTTATCTACAGAGCCTGACCTGGAAAAAAGTTCAAAGCTTCATTTGAGAATGAAATAAAGTTCAAAATTACCCTCAGAGGCATCCAAGGTCCGTACTCATTTACCCCTATCCTACCTTTACAGACTCTTTTCTTACAATAGTCTATCTCCTGACCCTGGGCTCCTGCAGTTGTGCCCACCACCCTGATGACATAAGCCAGTCTCAACAGAGGGAATGACTTTCCTCCGTCAATCAGAGAACAGGCCCTGGGATCCATCCTTCCACCAGATAATTCCCTCTCCACTGCCTCATGGAGAATGTTCTCTAAATATTGCTCAGTCAAGTACTGATGGGTCCTCCCTCTCTCTCCTGTCACTGTTAGCCTCCTTCTATTGGTACCTCGATTTTAGGACTGCTTGAAGCTCCTTGAGAGCTTTTCAAAAATAATTGCCCCTCTTCTGCAGTCAGCTACTACTCTTGCCCCAGTCACTTCTATAAGAGCTGTCAGTATGCACAGTCCTCTGCCTCACACTCGGGCCATGCTTCAAGGCCCTGGAGCAGAGCTCTGCCTCAGTTACCCCACAGAACCTTGACCATTAACTTATCATGACCCTATAGGTGTTCCCCAACCTTAGACAGCCTTGGTACTCTGGGCTGACCCTTTTTTACACATTTTCCCTCTAAGCTCAGCATCACCTGCCACCAGGGCTCCTGCCATGATGCCCGTCCTACTTTTCCACCTGAACCTGTACAGTCCTAGGGCTATTTTAAGCTTAAAAACAAACACACAATAATAAGAATGGCAACTGACATATACTGATGTTTTCATATGCTTAAAACTTAACAATTAATTGAGCCCTCCTAATAACCTGATGAGATTTTACTCACTTTACAAATGAGAAAAAGAAGTACAGAGAGCTTAAGCAGCTTGTCGCAGGTCCCAGAGCTACTTAAGTGGCACACTTGGGACTTGAATCCAGGCAGTCTGATGCCAGAATTCACAATTTTAATCACCACCCTACACAGCCTCTTTGCTTTATACTGCTGACTGAAAAGTTCATCCACTTCCATGACTTAAACGATGACTCATGTGCTACCTGCTTCACTCCTAGCTCAGCCAGCTCAGCAAGTTCCAGTCTTCTGAGCATCTGAACTTACAAAGCTATAGGTAAATAAAATGCACCAAGATCAAACCAAATCCCACCTCCAAACTAGCCCCCACATTCTGACCTCAGCTGAGACACACTAGCACCAACTACTGCCTTTCCCTCACTTCCATTTGGATCCAAATCTGTCACCATGTACTATTAATTCTAACTCCTATCTCTGTCACGGATATACTTTTCTCCCTTCTTGCTTCCAACCCCTAGCCCAAGCATATCCATCATCCCAGGATACCTACAGTATCCCGCAGGCCTGTTTTTAGTCATGAAGCTACACTGATGCACAACTTGTACATGATCTCATCACTTTATGCACCTGGCTTGCTGCTCTTACACCTCTTGAAGATTCGCCCGCCCATACTGGTCTTTCTGCCTCTAACATCTATTCCTATGGATCTGATTCCTATTCCTCCTCCTGAGACTGACTGGGTGGGGGGAGGGGGGTTCCCACAACCCCCCAAGGGAAGTATGGGTGAACCCTTTGTGTTTCTACAACAGCCTTCATGTTATCTGTTCACCTATATGCACTCCCAGCTGAATGCTGGTGGAAGGATTGTGGCTTGGTTATCTACCCCTATCCTATCCTGGTTATACCAGTTTTACTGTGTTCATTATGGTCTACACACTGGCCTTAGTTTTAAGTTAGTTTTATTATCCCTTTCTCCAGTTAAGGAAACCAAGTCCCAGAGAAGCAGCTGAGGCCAGTGATTTACAGGACAATCTGACTTGTCTTGGCCTGATGCCTCCTAGGACACCTGCAGCACTATAGTAGGGCTGGCACAGATGGGACCCCACAGCACATTTTTGGCAAATGATCTATGCCTTCAGCATTTTAAAGAAAAAAGGTTACTAACAACCCTTTTAAAAAGTCAGCCTAGCTTTATTGCTGTCCGATTACAACAAGAGTAGCTACCTACCATTTAGTGAGTCCAAGGTATATGCCAGATGCAAAAGAAGGGTTTTTTTCCACATTATTTCACCTAATCCTCATAGCCACCAGAGCCACAAATACAATGGTGGGGCCAGAGGCAAACTGGCAGGACTTTAGGTCTGTACTCTTTCCAACTCCCAAGACAATAGGTGTGACTCACTCAACAAGCCAAATGAATATACCTGTGTAATTTACACTTACCTTGTCTTTAAGCAAGGTAAAACTTACCTTAAAACAACTTAAACTTACACCATGAATGTTGGCATGGTATGTAGTTAATAGTGCAAAGGAACATTTTAAACTCTACCTTCCACAGGACACTCAAATGGCTTTGTGCCTAGGTGGGTTATGCTGTGGCCTTTAAGATGCTCTGCTCTGGTGAATGATTTGCCACAGCCTTCCACAGAGCAGGTGAACCTTCGGTCATCATCATGTTTCCTGCAAGAGCAGAAAAACAATGGAGGGGATTACTCATACAACTCACAAGGCCTCAGGGGTGATTCTTTAAAATTCTGCAAAATATACCAAACTACAAGTTCTTTCCACTGAAAAATAATGATCAGCACATTTCAGAAAATCTGAAATTCTGTCTTCAGTCCACAACAAGTTCGTAATTTAGCTACCCCATAAGTAGAAATTCTACTTTAATGACTCAGCCTGCCCTAAAGTCAGACACAGAACAATTTAGTGCTGTTTCAGTGTAGGAACAACTGAGTCCCAAATATAATGAGGAAGCTGTTTCCACTGATTAGAAATTCCCATGATAAACAAGCTTTCCCAGCCACAGAGAGCCATGAGAGGTGAACACAGAACATTGGCTGCAATGCTAAAAAGATCCTCTTAGGTAGACTTGTAAAAACTGTGACTTTTCCTAAATAATATTTTCATATTAAACCCCTCAGATCCCAACTATGCAAGGTTAGAAAAACCATCCATCCTCTGAGTCTCACTTTACAAAAGAGAGAAGACTATTAGTGTCATAGCTGTCATGAAGATGGAATAAGATGCACATGTAAATCTCATCGCCTGGACTTGGGGCCCTAAGACTGTCACTATCATCAAGAAAAGTTTTCAATGACATGAGGAAAATTTAATTCTACAATGTTAAAAGAAAAGGTAACTATAGAAACTATACCAATTAAGTATGAAAAATATATAGATTTTGAGTAATTTTCTCTTTTGTAGGGTTCAGGTCTCCCCAATACCTATATTGAACTCTTTTTAAATAGCTAAAAAAACAAAAACAAAAAACACTATATATTTCTATCCATGGGTTTCTCCTACTGACAAACAATTCATCCATTTTTGAAGCTGGTAATACATAACAAAATGTAAAGATTACCTTTTATGCCTTAGAAGTTTGGACATGCTGGTGAAGGTCCACCCACAACTGTCCGAGTCACAAATAAATGGTCTTTCACCTTGTAAAAGAAAAGTGACGTGGCATAATGAAAAAATGCAACAGCTACCAGAGAGATAAGCCTTGCGTCCAAATGATGATATATTACCTGTATGACTTCTTAGGTGAATTTTCAATCGACAGGCTTTATCATACTGTTTGCTGCATCCAGGAAAGGAGCAAGAAAAAAGCTCTTGTTCCCTGAAGTGGGCTCGGTTATGGGAAAACAGGGCACTCACTGTGATGAATGTCTTCTCGCAGCCTGAACAAAGAAAACACAAACTCTGCTCACAGTGTGTTTAAAAAAAAAAAAATCATACAATGCAGTTAATGCTAGCTGCAACCCAGGACACAGTTCACCTTGAAAAAAATGACTCAGAAGCTCCATCTAATGTGAATATTTGGCTTTATAATAACTACAGCAGGGGTAGCTGACAGCAGCCCATAGGCACATGGACAATGCAACTTGGAGATGGAGCAACTGATCAAGAAAAAGACCTCCAAGCCCAGCTATCTGCTTGCCAGTTCTGTTGTACTGATCTTGCATGCATTAGATGTACCTTCCATGAACTCAAATGTCAATACCGCATGTGTGAGGCATAAGAAAACCCCAGAAGAGAAATTAACAATTTATGAACAAGATTTTGTCTAGTGGAGTTGAGCTTTGAAGGTTATAAACCATCTTGATAATAAGACTTTTCACTTCTTTGGGGTGATGTTACATCCTCTACACTTAGGAACTTTCTCCTTTGTAATTGCCAGCACCATGTTATCTGGCTTCTTTTTGTCCTTTTGTCCATTTCCTCATTGTTCTGCTTCATAATTGTCACTCATCTGGCTTTTCCCTCCACTTCCTTAGCCCCCAACTGTACCACCAGCCCAAAAGCCTACACTTCACCAATATTCTTTTGACAAAAATGTTCAGTGCTCAAACAGGGTGGAAGACATTAAATCACAAGAAGTTTTACAGGTGTCTTTGTTGTAGCTATCAGTGTGCCTGTAAATCACCACACAGTTATACACTACATAAAAGCAGAAGACCAAAGAACCCTACTTTCCCTAACAGAAATCTTCCTAAACACCCTTTTTGGCCTGAATTTAGTTCCTTGCATTCCCTATTTTGGGCTTTGGTGTGTTCACACAATTGCTCCAGTAAACCTGAATACAGACATGCTCCATTATCTTATCAAGATCTCCCTATCCCAGGTGTGCCAATCAACAACCATGCCCCTTTGATCCTACCTCTGCAATCTTTCCTATCTGAACCACCCACCACCACCAACACCACCACCATTCCCACTGACATTCTCTGGCTCAAGCCCTGAAGAAACCTGTGCCTGGACCACTGAATGGTGCTTCACCAGCCCCTCATCTGGCCCAGTGACCAAGAAACATAAAACCCCCAGGGGATCCTTATGCTTTGAAGCAAACCAGATCCAGACCATTCATAGCTTATACACAGAATAATGTCCTTTTCACCAGAGTCTACAACCACCATGATATTTTCACAAACGTGTAGCTAAAAAGAGTGTACCACTGAAGTAGGCTGAGTCAGTAGTCTAAAGTCATGTCTTCCACACAGAGGAATGAATGCACAAGACCATTCAAAGGCATGTGAGAAGAAAATATTAGAGCCTGTTAATACTCTTCACACCACTCAAAATCCCTATTATACTTTATAATGCATACATTACATTAAAGTATACATTACTATTAGGAGAGCAGTGCATGTGTATGTTAATATGCATGCAAGAGGCACACTAGGAGCTTGCTCAAATACGTCTGAGTGTGTGTGGAGGGGTTGTTTTTACTGTGCTAGGAATGGAACGTTGTGCATGCTAGGCAATCATTCTACCACTGAGTTACATACCCAGTGCTCTGAAGTACATTTCAATAAACAGGTTAGGGAAGGCCCTCCAACAGCCTCGCACAGCCCACACCACTCTACAGTTCACCCTCCCCCAAAGCCAGCTCCTACCCTATTCTCCAGTCTTCCAGACCAGGAATGTTCTCTTGCTCCTCTGGAGGTAAGCCTGTCCTTTTGAGAGGGCCTAACCTGCCTAGCCCAGGGAAAAGTTCATTGTGTTGGAGTCTTACATTCCCAGTCAGTGCAGGTAAACACACTGGAGGAAGAACCAGCAGCGGATTTTATCCATACTGCTCGGCCTTAGTATCTGTAAAATGAGAATAGTTTTAAAATTTCACAAACTTAAAAGGACTTTTAAAAACTTCACAGAATTGAGAAATGCAATGAATATAAAGTATAAAAGATACAAAAATGGATGTGCCATACACCTGTGGCCATTCTCTCAGTGTGTGCATCGTGTTGTGTGTTGTACCTAACCTGGCTAGGCATATTCATCTTTGTTCCTCCAGTTCGGAGAGTGCCCATCAATATATGACGACAGAATATTTCTAAACCACAAGACTAAGGAATATAAAGGCCTGACTTCTAATTCTTCCATGCAGACGTATTACCATTTTCATCAATTAAATGGAAACATCTTAGAGCTCTGTTGCCCTCCCCACGGGCAGCTATGATTATTTGTGCTACCTCATAGTGGAAATCCTGCAGCAAGACAGCGTCCAAACTTCAAATCTAATCACCTGGAACTAGAACACAAACACGGAAGTGCGTCTTTACTTAGATCAGCCTCTTACTTAAATCAAGTAGCCCACACTAAAACGCTGCGTAGACAGAGGGGGTGGCACCACTTGGAGCGGTAGATTTGTTATCTCTGCCCGGCTGGCTGTCCAGCGCCCTCAGTCACTGAGCCCGCCCATCCCCACAATCCTCGGTTACCGGGAAAATCACACTTGTAGGGGCGCTCAGGCTCGAAGTGGCTTCGCTGGTGGGAACTGAGTTTGGCGTGCGTGGGGAAGCGCTCGGCGCACACTTCGCACTTAAACAAGCTCTCTTGCTCGTGTCCCTTCATGTGCGCTTTCAGGTTGTAGACGGTAGTGAACTTCTTGCCGCAACCGCCCACCGGGCAGCTGAAGGGCCGCAGCTTGTCGTGCGACTGCAGGTGCCGCTTGAGCTTGTAGGAGGTGGTGAAGGCCCAGCCGCAGCCCTCAAGCGGGCACTTGAAGGGCCGCCGGGCCTGCAGGCCGCCGTGCGTTAGCAGGTGCACCTTGAGCTGGTGCTTCTTAGAGAAGGCCAGAGCGCACTGCGGCTCGGGGCATCGATAGCCCGGCACGCCAGAGCTGGAGCCCGAGGGCCCGCGATGACGCTCCGCGGAGCTCGGGGTCTCGGTGCCCGGTTTTGTGGGCCGGCGGCCGCCAGACGGAGCAGGAGCGGACGGCGGTGCGGCGGCCAACGTGAAGACTCCGTGATCGAAGCGCACCAGCAGGTCTTGGTTGTTGATGGTGACGGTGCCCGCGAGGGCGGCGCCGGCCGGGCCGCTGGAGGCCTGCTCAGGGCGGCCCGCCGAGCTCGCGCCAGGGTCTGGCTCCGCGTCCTGCCGCCCGGCGGCCTCCGCGGTACCGCCGCGCGCCACTTCCAGCAAGACCAAGAAGGAGTCACTGCCGTCCTCGGAGGGCGACGGGCTCGGCCCAGGGTCCTCTCTGCATCTTGGCCCGGGCCCGCCATCTTCCGAGTCCTTCAGTAGTAGTAGGCGGCGACGCCCGGCGCTCGCGTTGGGAGGTGGCCCCGGGCCTCGGCGAAGCCGGCTTGGAGAGCCGCCGCCATGTTGGCCTCCGCGCGCCGTCGGAGCGGCAACCAGAACTGGGAGATCCATTTTGGGCCCAGCAGCAGCGAAGCGGCCGCCACCTTGGAAGAAAAGCGGCCCGCCCCTCTCAGGCATGCGTGCGACGTGCTCTGGACGCCCCTAGGAGACGCCGCAGCCAAGGTTCGGCGCGTGCGCAGCGAGAGTAGTGGGCGTGGCGCGCAGAGCGGTTAGGGTTGTCCCAGACCCGAGGCTACGGGGCAGGGCGGGTCGCCGCGGGCTCCTCCGCAGTTTTTGTAAGCCTCTTTTTCTTTCTCCGTGCATCCTCCAGGCTCCTCTGACTTTGTCATATTTTTGTATCTAGGTAGTGCAGACGCAAAGATTAATACTAATGGACATCTCGTAAGCGTTTACTGTGTCCTAAACACTGGAAATACGAGCTAATTTACAAGTTTCAGGAAAAAGGCACAGGGAAGTCCAGTCCTTTGCTTGAGGTCACAGAATCAGGAGCAGGTAAATTCTGGGTTTCAACATTCATCAGGCTGTACCACTTCCCTATGAGCTTATTAAAGTGCCCACTCACCCGCTAATGGCCCTCACGTGAGCTCCTCAGGTTCTTTGGGTGCCAACCCAAGCCTCCCTGATGGAACCCCCCGCCTACATTGCTACCTATATTTTCTACAAACTTGACACAGCCTCAGCCTACCGAAGCTAAGTTTGTCACTGTTCCCAGGACTCTGCTATCCTTTTCTTTCTATGAGGAGCTGAATATTCAATCTGGAGTCCCCCGTCCCCACTTCTTGGCTTCACCACTACCCAAATCTAAACTCATATTTCACTCCTAGATTTTTAGAAAAATATCTTAGTATCTGGTTTCAGTCTCCATTCACCCTACTGCCTTAATTCAATCTATTCTCCACATGGCAAGCTTTTGTGATCTAAAAATGCAGGTCTAATCATTGCGCACCTTCCCCTTGCTCTCCATTGCCCATAAGGCCTTGCTAGTCTGCTCTTCACACCCCCAAGCATAGGAAAGAGTTTACCTTCTTTTCCCAGCACCCTCCCTCTTACTGTACAATCTCACTGCCTGCCTGTGCTGCACTGCACACCATTTCCTCAGGTTCTCCAACAGGTCAAGCTGGTTCCTTCCTCATACACTTGGCAGAGATTTCTTTGATTCTTCTGGGAGGACCTTGTTAACTTTCTAAACTACACCTTTACTCAGGCCCCCTATTTCCCACCTCTCACCTTGCTTGTTTTTATAGCTTTCATCATGCAGTTGTTTAGGTGCCCCCTTCTGCCTTCCCTATTCATTCACTATCTCCCTGTCTAGAATGTAGGCTTCTGCAGCATGGGAACTGTGTCTCATGCATAGATGAATGCCCAGAGCCTGGTAGGGGAGATTCCCAGTACATATTTACAAATAAGCAAATGTTTTATTACCATTAGAGGTATTTTTAAAATAAAGTATATCATAATATTAAAAACAAGATACATCTATTATATATACATGTGTGTATATATGAATATATGCCAAAATATGTTGTTCTAATACCATTTAGTGGAGGCTACAGTGGTCTTTTCAACAATGGTAGTACTGTGTGTCTCACATCACATACAAAAATTGACTTAAAATTGATGTTATAGACCTAAATGTAAGACCTAAAACTATGTATTAGAAGAAAGCATGGTTATAAATCTGCATAACCTTGGATTAGGGCGTAGTTTGTTACAGGTAATATCAAAAGCATCAGCAATGGAAGAAAAATGAATTTGCCTTCATCAAAATTAAAAACCTTTATGAGTCAAAGGGCATTAATAAGTGAAAAGACAACCCATAGAATGGAAGAGAAATTTCCAAATCATGTATCGGATAGGGATCTACTGTCCAGAATACAGAAGGTACTCATAAATAAACAAGAAGACAACCCAATTTTTAAAAGGGCAAAGGATTCAAATAGACATTTCTCCAAAAAAGATAAGCAAATGTCCAAAAACTGTAAGGAAAGATGCTCAACGGCATTAATCATTAGGGAAATTAGGGAAATTCAAATCAAAATCACAATGAGATATCACTGCACCTTACTAGGATAGCATATTTTAAAAGCAGAAAAGAACAAGTGTTGGTGAGGATATAAAAAATAGGAACACTTGTACATTGTGGGTGGGAATGTAAAATGATGTCATATGGAAAACAGCTTCTTCAAAAAGTTTAACATAGTTCGATCCCCGGTACCAAAAAAAAAAAAAGTTTAACATAGACTGAGCCCAGGATTTAGCTCAGTGGCACCACACCTGCCTCATAAGCGCAAGGTCCAGAGTTCGATCCCTGGTACAGGGGGGGAAAAAGTTAAACAGAATTTCCACATGATCCACTCTTAGATATCTACTGAAGAAAAAATGTGTCCACACAGAAACTTGAGTGTGAATGTTCATAGCAGCATTAGCCATCATAACCAAAAAAAGTAACCCAAGTGTTCATCAGATCAACAGATGAATGGGTGAATAAAATGTGATCTGTTCATACAATGGATACAGTATTTTTCAGCCATTAAAAAGGAACGAAATGCTAACACATGCTGCAACATGGATGAACCTTGAAAATATTATGCTAAGAGAAAGAAGCCAGTCACAAAAGCCTACATGTTATGTGATTTTCCTTATATGAAATGTTGGGATTGTTTAATCCATATAGGTAAAAAATAGGTTAGAGATTATCAGTGGCTAGAGGGAGAGGGGGAGTTAGGACAGCTGCTAATAGCTACAAGTTTGCTTTATAAGGTAATGGAACTGTTTTGAAATTAGACAGTGGTGATGACTTTTATGTTATATGTATTCCTATTAGAGTATATTTTAAAAGTCAGTACAGAACATTGGTTAGGATGATGCCATTTGTGTATGAGAAAGAAAACTGCCTATGTGTGCATATAGTTCCATATACTTTGCAATTTTCTAGGAAGAAACATAAGAAACTGCTAGCACATTTGATTACTTCTGAAGTGAGGTGGGAAAAAGGGGCTTTGTGTTTACACTTGGTTCCCTTTGGCATTATTTGATTGTATTTTAAATAACAAGCAAATGTTTTAAAAAATAATTTTATGATTAAACATGTATTTTTCTACCATGGAAAACATTTTTCTAGTTCCTCAAAATATTAAACATAAAATTATCATATGATTCTGCAGTCAAATTTCTGGGTACATATTCAAAAGAACTGAAAACACCTGTGTTATGGGAGCATTATTCATAGTACCCAAAAGGTGGAAGTAAAAGACCTGTCCATTGATAGAGGAATGGTAAGCAAAATGTTTTCTATCTATACAATGACATATTATCCAGCATTTTAAAAAGAAGGAAATTCTGACATATGCTACAACATAGATGAACTTTAAGAACATAATACTAAGTGAAAAAAGCCAGACACAAAAGGGTAAACACTGTATGATTCTCACATATGTGAGGTCTTTAAAGTAACCAGATTCATAGATTCAGAAAGAAGAGTGGTTGCCAGAGACTGGGGAGGGGGAATGAAAAGTGTAATGCTTCATGAGGACAGAGTTTCAGCTTGAGAAGATAGAAAAATTTGGGAAATGGATGGAGGTGATGATTACACAACAATGTGAATGTATTTAATGCCAATTAACTGGGCACTGAAAAATGTTTACAGTAGTAAATTTTATGTTGTGTGTACTTTACCACAGTAAAAGTAAAAAGAAAATTTTATTGGAAAATACTTGATAGCAATATGGATATCACCCTCTTCTATTTTTTCTCCCTTTTTCAATAATGACTTATATTACTTTTTTAGAGTATTTTTCAAGCAGGTGTAGTCAGCCTTATGGACATTTGGAAGGTGGTATCTTGCCTGTCCTGTGTGACTTGCTCTCCTCTGTGGGTACTTGTGAACCTTCTGCTCTAGGTCTTCCTCCACCTCCTTGCTGACCTTCACAGTCTCCAAGGAGCCTTGCTATATTAGGGTCCTCATCTATATCTGGGTCCTCAGGCCTTGAGGATCCAGCAAGGGTTAGAGGAACCACTGTAGGTTTTTAGGCAGAGGTGTTACATGCTACCATTGTATTTTACAATGGTGTCCCTGAGAGCAGAGTCTCCAACATAGAATTAGGGTAAGAACGGAGGCAAGGAGGCTAGACAAGAGGTCACTGCAGAGGTCTAAGAAAGACCTGCCTCACAGAAGTCAAACAGAGTAGGGTAATGATGGGACTTTGGTCCATCCTTTCTCTCTTTGCTCCCTGAATCATGATTAAGCAGTTTGCTGTGCCATATACTCCCTGCCATTGTCACCTATTATCCTTGCTAGAGCCCTAAAACTGTAAGGCCTCCTGATATTGGATTGGAACATCCAGAACTATGAGCCAAAATAAATCTTTTCTCTTTCCAAGTTAATTGACTCAGATAGTTCATTATGCCAATGCAAAGCTGATTAACGTAGCTTCTATGATCTATCTCCAATAGTATCATTTAAATTAAAATTTTATTTGAGGGTTGGTATGTCATTGATAAAGCATAATTACTTGCAAAGGAAAGGGGCATGTGTCACTGGCTTCTCGGCACAAGGACAAAGTAACCCCATCCTTATCTCCCAGGCCTTTGTCCCACAACAGGATGAGGCCATGCATAGCCTGTCTTGGATGGGGCCACTGGTGGACCCCTCATGCCCCTCCCCAAAGGTAACTGCTCTGACAAGACAAAAGGTTCAAACCGGGTCCAAATCACTGTGTGAGCCAAACACAGGAAATGTCCCCACTCCAGCCTGGCCACCTCTGGGGCTGGAGTTAGTGGTCTCTCTGGGGATCTTTCTCCATACTCTCTCCTCACCCACGAACCTTGTGCTTTCTCAAGTTACAGGAGAGCCTGTAGTGCCTCCAAGGGGAGAGTGAGCCTAGGTGAAGAAGAAGCATAGCACAGCCAGGAGGCAGGGAGGCAGTAGAGGCCCTGAGGGTAGGGGATGCTAAATAAGTGCCATCTTCAAAATGAAGGACCAGAAGTGTGGCTATTTAATTCCTTTTGCCTGGGTCCTTACCATGGACCTGATCTCCAAGGTAGTGGGGTGGAGGCTCTGGGTCTAGCTATGGCTAGGATTTGGGGTTGAGGGAGAGGTGCAAGGCTCTAGTGTCAGGGACCAAAGTGGTTCCTGTAGAACACCTATATCCCAATTAGGGCTCCCAGAGAGCAGTTCATGCTGTGCTGGCCAGAAGGGGTGCCCTCCTCTCCCCTTATTTCCCTAGCCAATGATCCCTTTCCCTGGGGTACACCAAGCTGCTCACTCCCACCAGTCCACTCCCACCCTGCCAGGATGTGAGGCATACATTCTTTATTTTTTCCTTTATTTCCTATTTATTTTCCTTTCTAGGCTCCTCCTTTTTATCCCCAAGCCTGGGGTGCTGAGGAACAGACAGATGCACAGGCAGGAGACAGGAAGTAGAGTGATGTGATAAAATCCAGAGAGAACTCTGGGGGGCTTAGGAAAGACCTGGTGGGTGCTCAGATTGGCCAATTCATGCCAGTCACCCCACAGCTGGTGTCTACCCTGTAGGAAGATCGAGGACTTGGCCTTGGAAAAGATGTGCCCTACCCTCCTTGGGGTCCTCGTAAGCAATATGGTCATGGACACGTGGCATCATCTCTCTGGGGCTTGCCTGTAAAATGGGACCCATCTAGAGTGCTGTGAGGGCCACATAAGGGCTTGAGCATGAAGCCCAGAAGTGAAGTGTGTAGGAGGTGTGTTGAAATGAGGAGGGTGAGGACAGCCAAGGGAGGAAGGGAGACAAAGAAGACTGCAGCTGGCTTCTAGATTCCTCTCAGGGTTGCAGGGCTTGCTGGAGCATGCACTCATCTGTCACGTCGTGGGGAAGTGTTACCACTAAGCCACTGTTCTCCTGCATCGTCTGACAGATGATCTCATAGGCCTTTGGGTTCCCAGACCAGCAGCGCCTGGCCACCTGATGAAAAGGAATATGCAGCAGTTGATGTCAACATCACTGAGTACCCTACAAGGTGTTTTGACTCCCAAACTCCCGATCTTCCTTCACTTTGCAGACCTCGGATGCCACTGTGGAGCCAGCCTCTTTCCATCTGCCTCATCCCTAGCTTCAGTTCAGACCTCTTCCAGTCTAATGTAGATTACTTAATTGATTTACTGTCTTTTGATCTGAAACTAGCTGTCATTCCAGCAGCCCCACCTTTCCCATGTTTAAGAGTGGCCTTGTCTTCACCCAGAGGGATTTGGCCAGGAACTCAGGAATGATCCAAAGTACTTCCCTCCTCTCTGCCCTCAGAATCTGTGTTCATCTCAGCTCCACCTTTGGAACCCCTCTCCAGTCCACGTCTTTCTCCCTATCTTGTTCTCTTCTAGATCATGGTCATAGTACCTCCCCAACCCCTGCTTCCATTCTGTTTTTTAAAACATATTATAGAATAGCAGTGTCTGTTTTGAGAAACTGATACATGTGTATACCATATCTTGCTCATTTTCGATCCCTTGACCCCTTTCCCGCTTTGCACTCCTTCCTTTGATCTCCAGTTTCTTAGCATCACTCATTTACTTTAGTCATTCATTTATGTATATTTTAGGTTTCTCATATAAAAGAAAGCATATGATATTTAACTTTCTGAGTTTGGCTTATTTTGTTTAGCATGATGGTCTCTTCAAATGAGATGATTTCATTTTTCTTTATGGTTGAATAACATTCCACTGGGCAAATACACCATATTTTCTTTATCCATTCATCTTTTGACAGGTACCTAGGTTGTTCCAGAGCTTAGCTATTGTGATTTGCACTGCTATAATAGCGGTATGCATGTACCATTGTAGTATGATGTCTTTTAATTTTGGGGGGAATATATCCAGGAGAGGTGTAACTAAGTCAAATGGAATTTGTATTTTTAGTTTTTTGTGGAATCTCCATTCTGATTTCCATAGTGGTTGTGAGGCCAGAAGATAGAAGGAAGTTTGCGCACAGGTCCCCAGTAGCTAACATAAATAAAGGTCAAGGCTTACATGAGTTGACTACAAAGGGCCTGAATAATTAACTTAAGAAACTGACTATCAGGACCTAATGGAATGCAAAGGACAGAAGACAAATTCCTAAACAAATTGGAAGAAGCCTTGGAGGTATGGGATACAATCGAGACAGTCTGCTTTCTGAAAATCAAAGGACTGGCAACAACTAGGATCATCCCTGCATTCTGTCACATTCACCTGTAGCAAAAACTGTATAAAAGCCCCTGAACTTACACATCTACAGTTTTTCTGCCTTTTGGAAACACCTCCCTGTTGGCAGGGGGCTTTTCTTTTTATTCTTCCTAATAAACACGCACTCCATCATTCTCCACGGCTTGCTGCTTGGTCAGCTTCAATCTTCTTTAACCAAACAAGGACCCAGAGCAGGAGGGAGCTGGCTACAAGTTGTACTAGTTTACATTCCCATCAACAATGTAGGAGTGTTCCTTTCCCCCACAGCCTCACAAGCATTCATTGTTTCTTTGCTGCCATTCTTGCCAACTAGCCCATCCCATATCCCCATGCCTCCTCCAACTCATCTCCACACCATTGCCAGTGGGGTTTCCTAGAATGAAAATGCAAAGTGTCTGACCCTGTGCTCATTGCTTCAGGACAAACAACTTTCACTCCCTGCTGGAGTCCCTGTGGCTCCTGTTGCATGAGCACTGCCAGATACCCCTCCACCCTTACACTTGGCTTCTGGACCCAACGCCAGGGGTCCTCAGCCACCCAATGTCACACTGCCTAGACTTTTGTTCTTGGTCCCTGAGTCCTCTCCCCATTTCACTCACATCCCATATACCCTTGCCCATCACCTCTGACCTCCATTTGAGGTGTTTCCCTCTCCTTCTGGGCTGTCCATGATGTAGTCACAGAGAATTCTGCCCCCTGCCCCATGGAGAATGCTACATTACAGCAAAGTTGGTCATCGTTGCACAACAAGGGGTGAAGAATCTGCCACTCTCTGATCTGCCTTCAAAGACAGTGGACCTTGGAGGTAAGGCTGGAGATGTTGTTCAATGGCAGAGTCTATACTTATCATGTGTTTGAAGCCCTAGGTTCATCCCAAGCAACAACAAGAGCAAAGAAAGTGAGGTCTCTCAATACCAGAACTGAGGAGTGCTCTGTGGGAAAAAGCACTGGTACTTCCAGGGCTGCCTGTGTAGACAGAGGCCAGACTGGTGGGGTGAGGTCAGTGGCAGGGAGATTCTTGAAATACTTGAGAATGATATGGGATTGGTCTGGTGAGGAGCGAGTCCTGGCAGTGCCCAGAGGGCAGGACAAGCTTCTGAGTATCCTTTGGGGAAAAAGGGGAGAACTATAGTCCAGCAGCAATGTGAGCAGGCAGAGCCACAGAGAAGAAAGAAAATAAGGTGGAGAGGCCTGGGGAGACTTACGCCATTGGAGACGTCCCAGCTGAGCATCATCCTGGCTTTGTGCTCCACCTCTGGGGATCCGTCCAGCATGAGACCAAATCCCCCATTGATCACCTCACCCCTGCAAGAGGCAGAGATGTTGCTATGTCATTCATAATTCCTGACCCTGCATAGAGCAGGTAGAGACATGTTTTAGAAGTGTTGGTTCAAGAAGGTGTCAGTGTCAGAGGCAGGGTGCTGGGTCACATCAGTCTCTATATCCTGGACCGTGCAGACTAGCAGATGCAGGAGCCATGTGGGTTCTGGAGAAGCACAGCCAAAAAGGCAATGGGTGCATCCAGGCCTCTCTGCCCGACTGTGCCTTTGAGCTGGATCTGTGGACCTGTTGCCCACTGCCAGGACCCATTTGGTGTCACTGCTTTGAAGCCTGCCTGACCACATGGTGGGATGTAATGTCCTTCTCCTCCCCTCTCAGAGCACTCTCCTATAAGGAGATATCTCTTGTGTCACTCAGTTCAACTGTCATTTTTCCTGATTTTATCTTTGTTGTCTTCATCTTTTTTGTTCCTTCTTTCTACTTGCTTCAGGTATACTGTGGAGTCCTGACTACCTGATCCAAAGACTAAGTTCCTTTATTTTCAATATTTCTCATTTTCTTGCCTTTCTCTGACTATGGCTTTAACTGTCTCCAAGAGGTTTTGCCCTGCTCTTATTTCTCAATAAAATTCATTTCTCAATAAATGTAATCTGAATCCTAGGTATGTTAACACAATTCTACTTCTCACATGTTTGGCCTGCAGTTATTTTCTATCAACTTAGAATGACCTTCTCTATCCTCAGCTTGAGGTTGTTATCTAGACCATTATGAAGGGCTTCCATGGGATGCTGCTTCCTTGGGTGGACCTGGTTTCTATTCCTGCCCAGACTCCTCTGCCCTCAGTCATACACACAGAAAATGCACTTGATTTTGCCAACCCCTTTCTTTGCTTTTTTGCAAATATGTCCCTCTTGTTTCATATTCCTCACTTGCAGTGATCTTCTTTATCTCCTTCCTGCACATAAAATATACATTTCTTTTCCCTACTCTCTCATCTTTCACATCTGTCTAGCTTTACCTGCTTCTCCTCGGCATGGGCCTTGACTGACTTCAACCAGTTCTCACCAAGGAAGCTGGGGTATGCTGTGGCCCTGGAAGTTTCCAGCATCCTAGATGCTGAGTACCTTCTGTGAGTGGGCAGCTGCCACTGCCCCAGGCCATTACTCTGCCCTGTACCCGATCTCTGTACCTGGGCAGTCCTACTCCTTTAGGTTGAAGGTGCTCTGAATAGATCTCATGTCATTACCATTCACCTGTTAGAGGCTGATGCTGGGTACAAGAGGAGAAGGTGGCCAGTAGTCATATTGATGTGTCCTTCAACCAGAGGGGGCTTTTGGAGATTAGGACTATATTTTTCAGGAGCCTAAACCCCAGAGGGTCAGAGGACAAGGACACTCAGATTGAGCTGATTTAAGCAAATTGATCGCAGAAGAATCTTGAGCGTACAAAGCCCAGGAAGATGGGAATGATAAAGCATCGCAATTAATGGAGAATTTGGGGTTATTCACAAGAGATGTTGGGACAATTAACTGTAACTTTGTGGAAAACATAAAAGTGGAATATGGGACCTTGGATTTAATCCCTACCCACTCCCCCTAAAAAAACTCCTGTGTCAAACATAAAGAAAAATAAATGTCTGGTATAGTAAAGGAGTCAATTAGATGAGTTAACATATACAAATTGCTTAGAGGTCTTCCCACATATTACACTCTGTATATATATTAGCTATTATCATTAATTCATTTAACTGTCACCATTAGTCCACAAAACAGTTATTATTACTCTACTCATTTTGTCAATAAGAAACAAAAGTTAAGTGGCATGGTCAGATGACCCCATCCTGCAGCCAACCATCTAAAGATCAATGTCAGCACACAAGGCTGCAACTAGCCTGTTAGTGCCCTTGCTAAACTTGACCACTGGGTACAGGACAAAGGCAGCCACTGAACAGAGGGTCTGAGAGAAGATTGGGACAATGGAAGGAGCTGAATTTGACTCACAACTTTTATTGCTAGTCCTGAGAAGAGAAGAACCCCACAAGGAGCCAGTAGATAGTACAAAAACTGGCAAAGCAAATCAAGAAACCTCAAGATAAATTTAAAACACAGAAGCATGGATTTAAGTAAAACAAAGAAAAAACTACAGGTGGAGGGTTGAGGGTGGTTTCCCATCGGAGTAGGAATGATTCCGGGACAGATCTTCCTGCCGCTTTTGTAATAAACCTTGTAGAAGTATCTGACAAGTTAAATTATGTACTTGTACAAGTTTTATGGATCCCCAAGGTAAATTTGTGGTACTTCCCCACAAGTGCTCTCAAGAACAGTGAGGACCAAGGGCATTGGTTTCAGTGTCTTGTCGGCCTATGTTCCTGTGCATGGAGCCTGATGGATCCTAGGGAGACAGATCTGAGTTCAAACTCTGTCTTTTCCAGAAGGTCTGTAGCCTTGGACAAGCTACCCAACCTCTTTTAGAATCTCCCTCTTCCCCTCTAGAACTGACAGGTTAATCAGATGCCAAAATGCCAGGCACCAAATAACCAGGCAGCTCTCCATCCTGGTTTTCTCTAGTTCATGTATTGGAAAGGACACACATTCCAGACACATTTTCTACTAATTAAAGTCAGCTAACTAGGCTGCAGCTCAGAATTACAGCCTCAGTGGGCATGTGGTTAAGCCAGCCCTCTAGAATGCTCTGGGAAGTTTGACTGTTACAGACTTGGCTATGCAGGGCAGATGATTACTCGATCCGGCCAAAACAGACAAAGGTTAGCTCAGACATGGCCAGTAGAGCCAAGGCTTGGAAGCTGTGTTCCTCTCCAAGCTGTAGCATTCCCTGCTCCTTAGATTAGCCAGGAATTCAACTTCAGCCTCCCCAAGACTTGTCCTCCCACAACTTGTCCTCCGACATCTTACCAGCCCACGCCCCCTCCATTGTGAAGTGCAACCCAGGTGGCTCCACGACAGGCATCTCCCACGAAATTCTGGACAGCCATGTCTGCAGAAACAGAGAAATTACCACTCATCATTCAGTGTACAAGGCAGACCTGGGGACCAGGCTAAGCTCTGGCCACTGCTTGAGCTGAAGGGTAGGGCAACAACTGGGCAAATAGGGAATAGGGATAGGTGACTTTAGAAACAGCAATAATTTGTGTGTGATGACCCCAAGCTGAAGCAGGAGAAATTGACAAATGCCAAGTTTTCCCTATTGTTCTTCCATATATTTATACTCATTGTATTGAAAGCCAGATAAAGTGCCTAGAAGCAGAAAGAGCAAAAGAATTAAAAGGGATGTGATTCCAGTGTTAGCTTCAGAAATACAAGGAGTCAGAACATCACTCTCTCTCTTTAAAAATGAGGGATAGCCAGACTTCAAAGGAATGACTTTCCCTATCAAAGAAATGAGTCTGCAGTGTTAGCTGCTAGGCAGGTACTTCTAGAGGGAGTCACCTATGCTTATAGGGGAACAGCTGCTGCCCCTTTAAGTAACTGTTAATACTTGTTCAAGTTTGTTTGTTGTTGTTTGTTTCAGATAAAGCCTTCCAGAGAAACCCACAAGGAACTATCCAAAACTGCTGAGTCAATCTGACTCACTCTTTTAAGGGACCTAGGATAAACTTTGCTCATTATAATACTAAATTCTCTGTTCAGAAGGAGTTCTTCACTATTTTTGAATGTAGGATATATGAAGAAGCATGATTTCCGATTGAACATGCTCAGGAATTTGCCCATCTTTATGTAACAGAGTCTTTCCTATATGAATATGTATGTATTTTCCCAATAAAAGCCTCTTGCTTTTGTTCTTTGGAGAGAGATATTGGTTTGGGAGTTATGCCCAGAGCTCTCCTTACTTGTTGTAAGTAAGAAGCTTTCTTCACTCTTTTTTCTCCTCCTTGTGCTTACTGGCTTTGCACTAACCAAAGGAGGAGCCCATTGTGTTTGGTTACAACAGCACAATCATGTAACCTGCAATCTAGAGAGAATGGGCACCTGAAGAGGGAAGCAGAACCTTATAACACATTGTTGAAAGATGAGCATGAACTGAGACTGTGAGGCCCCTGGGGACACAGGTGTAAGGGGTTTGCTCCCTCTTGTAGGCTTTTCCTCCAGAACTCCCACTGGGTGCTCACAGAGATCAGGAAGAATCCTAAAAATTTTTTTTTTCTCCCTGGTCCTGGGCTGTGAAGATTGAAAAGGGGCCATGAGCCAAGAAATACAAGAAATACAGCTCTAGAATTTGGAAAGCCAAGGAATCAGCTTCTCTTCTAAGGCCTTAAATTCACCTGGCAAGTGACATGGTCAGATGTATACCTGAGTTTAGGGTATCAAGCTATCCCAGCTTGCCTGAAACTGGCCTAATTTTAAAACTGGAAGTCTTACATTCCAGAACTCTCTCAGTCCAGGGCTGGTTACCCTATCCTCTGCCAAGTCTCTCAGATACCAGAACATCTGTCACAATAAAGAGATCAAATGAATAAATCAATTTTTAAAAAATCCAAACGTAACTCTCTCTCTCTCTCTCTTGCTTTCTTTCTCTCTTTTCTCATCCACTTTGCCTCCCTCTCCCTCTTCCTTCTCTCTTTTTTCTTTCAAGTTTGAGAGGGGTATTGCTATATGTTGCTGAGGCTGCTCTTGAACTCCTGTGCTCAAGAGATCTTGGTGCATCGGCCTGCTGAGTAGGTGGGACTAGTTACATACCACTGTATCCAGCACATAAAATTTTAAAAACATTTTTTGTTTTGGTCTTTCTCACCTGCACAGAAGGCAGAACCATCATATACGTTGGAAGTCTCTCTGAAGGGGCTGTCAGTGCCACTCACATCATGGTGGTCTCGGCTCAGAACCACTGGGGCCTGCAGGATGGGAGGATATAAAATGCCTTGGTTACTTAGACAAAATCATTGCCAGGAACATTTTTGCCAGTCTCTGTGGGGACAGAGACTTATCATCTTCACTTTTGCAGTGAAACCATTTCCGTCTAGGTATTCTGGCACCTCTGGCCATGCATTAAGGTCTTAGCTCAGTGCAGGCAACTCAGAAATCCTGTCCTGATCACCCCATCACTCTTGACATCATTTCCTTGGTTCATGTTCCTCAAAGTGTCCATCAGCATCTGAAAGTCTCTCTTAATTTATACCTATAGTTGTGTGTGGTCAGTTTTCCTTCATTAGACTAAATAATATAACAGGGCTGGGACTGTGTTTATCATGTCTGCTAATGTGTACTGGGTAATTAGAAAATTCCAGCACACAGGAGGTACTCAATTGAGTGTTGTTCAATGAATGAATGAATGAAGACACGAATGAATAAATGGATGAATGAATGGATGCATGCATATTAAATCAGTCACTCTGTTGTCTATATGACTGGCTGGATACTGGCAAGGTGAGAGTTTTGCCAGCAGCCCTTGTAAACAAAGCAGGTGTTTGGGAAGTGCCACCCCTACAAACACATACAAAGCCCCGAGCCATCCATAGGGACAGTGTTTACACACATCTGTCAATTTCACCTTCACATCTTGTAGTTAATATTCCTGGCACATTCAAACAGAGAGACGCCACTAAGAACTGTGTGGCATGAGCCCATGAGAAGAAAAAGTGGAGTGACAGGCTCCTCCAAGCAAGTGTGCCCAGGGTTCTGCATCCACGAGGTGGGAGGAAAATGGGCAAAAGCTAGGGAAATTGTCATGGTTTGGAAAAGATACCTCAGAAAAAGATATGTAACATTACTTTTGCAGAAGCTGACTCATTTAATCCTCATTCCCATTCTTTGAAATTTTAACATGATACTCTCTTTTGACAGAATATGGAAACTGAGGTTCAGAGCAGACAGCTGACTTGCCTAAGAAACGGTGTCAGGGCTTGGTTTGAGAAATGGCCTGGTCACTCTGGCTCCCAGTTACCCAAGCCCCCACAATGACATTCTTTTCCTCCCTTCTCCTTCACTACTGCCTCATACCTTCACCTCCCCAAGCAAGCCCTGCTTCCCAGGAAAGTTCACCTCTGAGCCCCTCTGTCTATCTGACCACAGAGACCAAGATTTTCACTGAAATCTTGTTTCCCTATAAACAGTGGTGGTTTGGGCCTCAGACAAGGGAAGGCAAGATCTTCCAGATAGGGGCTGACCCACTGCTCCTGAACAACTAGCTACTGAGGCCAGATGAGGGGGCCTCTCCTCAAAAACTGGGGAGGCATGAGGGGACAGACCAGAGACAAAGGTGGGAAGTCCCAAGTTAGGGCCTGTATTGATGAGAAAGAGCCTAAGATGAGTCCTCTCAGAACAAAGCATACATCACCTTGATATTTCCTCTGGCGATGGCTTGGTTAATGGCCACAGCAATGGCCACACGGCCCTTCTGGTCTGAGTACAGGATCCTTGCCTGGGACCCCACAACCTGCAAAGAGAAAGGTGAGAAAGCCCTTCAGCCCAAAGGGGCAAGCATGCCAGGACCTGGTAATACAGGTGACTCTCAGGCTATATCACACTGTGCACCAGAAGCCTGATGGCCCCTCTAGGGATATGTGGAAGACCTTGACATTTGTGGTGGTTATAAAGTCTGAAAGCCTGGGCACACCCTTGTATCTAGCTCACCAGACAGTATACCATCCATTGTGTGTCCACATGATCTCTGGGCCACCAGATACCATTTCATGGACCATCACTCCTAAGGTTCCTCCCTGGAGTCACCTGTGCACTAGGGAGATTACCTACTTGGAGCATCACTCCTGCTGGAGTCCTTCCAACACTAATACTACCATCACTTAATGTGATACCTGTTTGTGCCTGGCTCATCCCAAGTACTTTTCTTATAGTCTTCCTTTGTGAGTACTGAGAAGAAAATACTGTTGTCCTCATCAAAAGCTCCATTTTATAGAGAAGCTAAGCAACCTCCCCACGGGTTGGGACTTGGACCCCTGTGCCTGTTTCAGCACCCATATAATCAATTTCCATGTATAATAGCACCTCTGGATGGTCAATTGTTCCCAGGAGGCAAAAGATTCTGAAAATGAAAATGAATCATTGTTTAGCCCCATAGTTCTCAACCAGGATGATATTTGGCAATAACTGGAAACATTCTTGTGTGCTGCTGGCATGGGTAGAATGTTGCCAACATCCAACAGTGGCCCCAACAAAAATTTATCCAGTACTCAAGGGCTTAGATATTTGTGCGCCCATGTTCACAGCAGCATCATTCATTTCTTTTTTGTTGCTATAGAGTATATTGGCATAGCATTTATACTGTACTAGGTATTAGAAGTATTTTTAAAATGATTTAAAGTATATGGAAGGATATGCATAGATTCTATGCAAATGCTACACCATTGTATGTAAGGTACTCGACCTTCTGTTTATTTTGGTCTACATGGGGCTCCTGGAACCAATTTCCCTATGATGCTAAGGAAGGAAATTTTGACACAGGCTACAACATGCAGGAATCTTGGAGATATTATGCTAAGAGAAATAAGCCAGCCACAAAAATATATGTTTGCACTTATATGAAGTCCCTAGAGCAGTCATATTCATAGAGAGAGAAAGTAAAATGGTGAGTTCCAGGAGTGGTGAGTGTAGGAGAATAGTGTTTAATGAGGACAGAGTTTCCGTTTGGGAAGATAGAAAAGCTCTGGAGATAAATGGTGGTTGTTAATGTTAATGTACTTAATGCCACTGATGTATGTACCCCAAATGGTAAATTTTATGTTTGTGCATATTTTACTACAATTAAAAAATTATCTGGTCTCATATCAATGGTGCCAGGGCTGAGAAACTATAGTTTCTCCAAATAAGAAACATTGCCATTGTCCCTGATGCCTGGTGAGCTGGTCCAGGCACGGGGCAAAAGAGGGCAAGAAATGTTTATGGATGCAACCTTGCACCTGCCCATAAACTCTGGTTTGGGCAGGGCAGCTAGTCTGATTGCATCTTCCATCCTCCTGAGTTTCTATTGAACATCCTTATTTTACTCACATCAGGTGCCTCAAATACTTTTGGAAATATTCCTAAGTGTAAATCAGTCTCATTGAGATTTTCACATATCTTGGATCCAGAGGGGGAAAATTGGAAAACTGGAGAAGAACTGACATAGAATTGCCAAATTTGTCAAGAATGTTCATTAAAAGCATCTCAGTCAAAGTTTTAAAAAAGACAAATCCTCTGTAGTTACCATCACTCACAAGAAGAAAAGCACTACATAGTAATTAGGAAGAACACAATCTGAATATTTTAACGCAAAACCAGAAGAATAATCCTGTTTCCTGCCCCCGTGGCAGCACTTACTGGCCTTTCCACATACCCATGGCTCTCAGCACCTCCCACTGACCCATTTTTGGCTATGCCGGTGGCCTTTCCTCAAGGCCCCAGCCTCTTTTCTCCTCCAGCCCTTCTCTGGACTGGCCAACTACTTAATCTCCTGAGCCCTAAACTCCCTGGCCTTGGACTTGAGTGTCTCTAATTTAGCCCCATCACAGTCTGGTGCTGGCACACAGATTTTTGTGACTGGGACACAAATGCAAACCACTGCATATGTTGGGACAACCCAGGCGAGCAGAAGCAGTTCCCACTAGGCCCTGGGACCCCAGGCCAAGGACACATTAGTACAGACATGACCCATGGCTAAAGGCAGGTGAGCTAATTTTCCTTCCCTTTTTTCATTTTGTCCTCATTACCCCTAGCCTGGTCCCACCTGGTGGCCTGTGCGCTGGCTGTTTCCTCAGCCTCCCATGAATGTCATATGGTGGCTGCTCTCTCAGTGAGCAGACATATCATACACCTTTCCTGACCTCTGTGTATGAAGTAGCTCCTACTTTGTACCCCTCTGCTAGTGTTTTGTTTCACAGGCACTCACAGAAATGAGGCATGATACAGCTCTCTTAGCATCTGGCATGGCAGCCTGTGCACAGGGAGGGCCATAGAAGGCCTGCCCCAAGATCTGTCACCACATCTCCACTAGATGAAAGTGTGGGGCTCAGAAAGGCTGAGCCACTTGCCTTGCAACACACAGCTGAGAAGATGGTAGAGATGAGTTGGGCTCCAGAGCCTGAGCTTTCATCTTCTGCAGAGCCAACTCTCCAGAAAGCTATTTTGAATAACTGGATAAAGAACAACCCTGGTCACTGCCTCAGAGCCCTGAAAAACCATTTTTAGTTTCCTCAATTTGTTTTATGTGGTAAAATATACATAATATAAAATCGACCACTGATTATTTTAGTATATAGCTCGGTGGCATTATATTCATGCATAATGTTCTGTAATCATCATCACCATCCATCTACAGAATTTTTCCTTCTTTTTCTAAATGAAACTTTGTCCTCATTGAACACTAACTACCCATTCCCTCTCCCCTAGTCCCTGGACCCCACCATCCTGCTTCCTGTCTCTGTGAATTTGATTATTGTATGGACCTCATACAATATGAATGGAATCATACAGTATTTATCCTTTTGTATTTGTCTTATTTCACTCAGCATAACATTTCCAGGGTTCACCCATGTGGCAGCAAGTATCAGAATTCCCTTCCATGTAAAGGCCAAATAAGATTCCACTTGTTATGGCTTGTATCTAGATGTTCCCCTAGAGCCTTATGTAGGCTTTGCAGAGTTGGCAGCACCTAGAGTGTGTGAAGTTGGGATCAAGGATGTGATGCTGTGATTGATTCATGGCATGATGCTAGGATTAAGGCTACCCCACCCTGGGTGTAAGTGCTACCTGCCCTAAGGGTGGGTAGCCTGGATAGGATATAAGGAACAGAAAGAGGGTCCATACTTGTTACTTGTCACTTGCTGCCTTCTACCCTCTGCCCACCATTAACTGTTTCTTCTCTGTGAGGCTTCTCTGCCATGCCACCCTTCCTTATAGCCAGCCAACTATGAACCAAAACCTCTTAAACTGTGAGCCAAATAAACTTTTCCTCCTTTAACTTTGGGTGTTGGGTATTTTGTCTCAGCAACAAGAAAAGTAACTAATCACTACTGTAAGCAGGGAGCACATTTTGTTTATACATTCATTTGTCCATGGACATTTGGAGTGCTTTCTTATTTTAGCTACAGGGAAAATCATTGCTATAAACATGCACATAAAAATAGCTCTTTGAGATCCTCCTTCCAATCCTTTCGGATATAGAGTGGTACCTTGCTTCACCTACTTAACTCTGCCCACAATTCTGGTTGCAAACTGAATTGGACAAGAACTGAATCTAATTTCCTCATAAAGTCAAGATGGAACCTACCATTGAATTTGATTTGGTTCTCATCCAATTTGGTTTGTGATCAGAGTTGTGGAAAAAATTGAGTTTGTGAACCCAGGTACCACTGTATACCCATATGTAGGATGGCTGGATCATATGGTAGTTTTCTTTTCTATTTTTTGATAAACATCTAGACTATTTTCCACAGCAGCTGTACCACTTTATGTTCCTACCAACAGTGCATAAGTGTTCTAGTTGCTCCACATCACTATCCAGGCCACCTTTTACAAGGTCCCAACTTCTTTGTCTGTCTCTTTTTTCTTGAGCAAGATGGCAGGTCACCATGGGGTGGCTGTGAACAGTCGCACAGGGTCCAGAGTCTTGTACCCTCCCAGGGAACAGCAAGCTACGTGCTATGTGCTGGGTGAGAACCTGTTAGCTTTGCCTCAATTCTAGGCAGTATCCTGAAAGCTTGGCCTTCTCCAAGCCCTGCAGCCCACTCTTTTAGGCCCCCAGGCTGGAATCCTCACCAGCTGATGCTTGGCAGCTTCTCGGATCCAGCGGATATTGTCCATATACTGCAGTTTCACAGATGGCTTCACTGTAGGGAGAAAGGGGAAGGATATCACAGGCACTAGGAGCTCCTGCCAGGGAGTCCTCACCCTTCTGCAGACTGCTGGCCATAGGCACCTGCTGTGACCACATCACTGGAGCCAGCACTCAGGGCCAGGGAGCCCAACACATAACCCCCAGCACATTCCACTGTGCAGCCCACTCCTGGTCCTACGTCCATTCCATCAGCTAACAGCTAATCAGGGCCTGCTGTATAACAACCGCTTTGCTAGGTACCAGAAACAGAGGCTTGGGCTGGTCATGAGACAATAAGAGAGTGTGATGCAGTCATCACTAGGGTAGTGGGTTGGGCGACCAAAGACTCCCCCAAGGTGACAGTCAGGCTGAGTCCTAAATGCTGAGAAGTTGGCTACACAAGGCTCAGCAGGAACAGAGTCCTAGGCAGAAGGAAAAGTCAGTGCCAAAGCTGTGTGGTGGGAATGAACTTGGCCTATCCCAGGAGAGTGAGTGGAAGGGGTGGTGATCATGGTGCATAGGAACAGCTCATATCATCTCATGAGAGTAGGATGACTAATTTTTTGGAAATTGTGTGAGTCAGTGGTCAACAGAGATATCATTAAAATCTTACTTAAATAAACTTATATTTTAAAAAATTATATTAAAAATGAAGGCAATTGGCTGGTGCATGCCTTTATCCCAGCACTCTGGGAGGCTGAGGTAGAAGGATTGCAAGTTCAAGCCCAGCCTGGCCACTTAGCAACTAATATTAAGACCTTGTCTCAAAATAAAACATTTTATTTAAAAAAAGAACTGAGGCTGTGTCTTAGTTCAAAGACCTTGGGTGCAATCTCCAGTACTGAAGGAAAAAAAAAAAGCAATACTCCAGATTCACCCCTGCATATTATTGCACTGCCCTTTTCTATGATCTATGCACTCAAGGTTATCTGTGTCTGTCAAATCTTCCTTGTGAAAACTTCACAGAGCCAAGTCACAGTCATAGCTTGAAGTCAATCATGCTGGGAATATTTGCACCATAGTCATTAGCCCAGGGCTTCTTTTCAGAGTGCTGGCTGTTAAATACTCAGCAGCCCACCTGCCAAGGGCTGGGGAGCTCTTTGAAGCCAGGGAGGCCTGGAGAAGCATAGATCCAGATTTCCTAAGAGAAGGCCCTGGGTTCTTCCTCCACTCCTCTTGGCTCCTGGATCTGTGTGGCCTGGACCCTTGACATAGGCCATGGGACCTGGAGTCGGTAGCAGGGTTAAAATGGGCCCTAGGGTCTTAGAGCAAGCAGCTAAGGCTGAGAAATTCTCCCATGAGAGAAGGCCACCTAGGTCTGCAGAAATGCCACTGAGAAGCAGGAGTGAGAACTCTGGCAATTGAGACTATTTCCTAATTGCCTCCTTTTCTCCACATGACAACAATGTCAAATGCATTTGACAAGAGCAGTGTGGTTTAAGAAAAGGACAGGAACACACAAACTCAGTAAGAGCATAGTCATCCAGGTCAAAGAGACAGACCCAATTCTGCATCCACAAAAGCTAAGACCAATTTTGAAGCTACTGATTTAAAGAACATTTGAGTGGACCAGGCAGGTTGGATGGGTCCCAAGACACTGGTGGTATGCTCATGAAAGACAACTGACAGGAATCAGCAGTGCTGTTGACAGAAATCCAAGGCCAGTGCTCAAGGGCTTTCAGGGGCCAGATGACATGCAGGAGAGAATCTGGGCCAGAGAGGGATTGCTGTAAACCCCTGCTGTGACTACTAGGTTGTCTGAGCCTGAAGGACCCTTCTGCTTTAGCCAGTTTGAGTGGCTCCTATAGTTTGGATCTGATATTTCCTTCAAAGCCCATGAGCTGGGGCTTGGTAGCCAGCCTGTATGTTATTGTCAGATGATGGAACCTTTAGAGAATTAATTGGGTGTTGTCAGGTCTTTGGGAGCATACCACTGAAGGAAATACTGGGACTCAGGCTTCTTGTCTCTCTTTGCTTCTTAGCTGCTCCACCATGTGCTTCTGCCCTGATGCGAGGCCTCACCATAGACCCAAAGACAATGTGAGCTAAAATAAACCTTTCCTTCTGTTAAATTGATTTTCTCAGGTATTTTGTGATGGAAAGCTAATTAACACAATGGCTTTCTGTCATTTTCAATCAGAAGGTCCTGACTGCACACTTAGCAAAGTTCTAGAGCATGATGGAGCACATAGGGCATATGCTTCCAGGGCTCATAACAACATTCAGAGGCCAGGATTCCCCATGCCAGGCACCTTACAGAGGAAGAGGCTTTGGAAACTACCCACTCATGAGCATTCCCCACCAACAGTGTCACCTCCATCGGCAATGGCCTTCTCCAGCACAGATGTGGCCAGCTGGTCTGTGACAGCCAAGTCCTGGGGGTCCCTCGATGTGCATACCCAGCGGAAAGGCCCAAATCCCTGGGAGAATATGTCCCTGCAAGGACAAACACCTCCTCAACTAGGGCTTCTGGGCTGGTAGCACCTTCTGCCAGGACCAGGGGAACAGCATATGGTTGCCCAGGGAAGAGGGGATCAGCATTCAGATGAAGCTTGACACTCTCAGGTCTCCAACTCAACAGCAGTATCAGAGGACCTGCTTTATTCTCAGTCCCCTCCTTATCCCTCCGTGCCCTCCCTTTCTCAACTCCTCTTCTTCCCCTTCAGTTACTTCATGCCTCTTAGTCTCCCTCATGCCCCTCAATCCTCTCCAATCTGTCTCCCCTTTTTAGGCTGCACCATATCTTCTCTGCCTGATCGAGGAGCTGGGACAAGGACAAATAGAAATTTCCTTGAACTACTGTTGCAAAGACTACATAAAAATCAGTCACCCAAAGCTATGGTTGAAAGAAAGGAGTCTATATAGGGACTTGGCCTTTGGTGAACTCACTTTGTTAAGTCAACTGACTTCCCAGGTGGCCCATTTCCATGACTGAGTGACCTCTGGTGGAGGGGTTCTGTCACTAAATGTCCCTCTAGGGCTCCTGCACTTGCCAGGGCATTCTGGGTGCTTCCCTCAAGGGCTTCTTTCTTTTGTTACCTCCCATGGGAATGCCCAGCTGTTCTGTACTGCAGCTCACTCCTGGCTCTGCCTCCACATCCCACAGTGAATCTGAGAATGTGACCTTTGCCCTCTTTGCCCCATCTGTATACACTGACCATTGTGAGTTGTAAAGCCTAGACTTCTCAGCTTGGCTCTGTAACCTCTGCCCTTGGTCCTGGTCCTCTTCCTGGTTCTTCCTCCTCTGACTGTCCTGGGATGCTTCTCTTCACCCTGGACCTACCTTGCACAGCCAGGTGGGTGTATGGGCTCCAGGACCACAACAGGTCCTGGTCTTCATGAACTTGAGCCATGGCTATAGGATGGGCAGCGACCTCTTCAGCAGTGCCACTAAGGTTTTGAGTACTCATAGGTCGGGGTGTTCACAGAAAGTGACCTTTGCTACTGGCTTCCTTGGATTTCTCTGTTCTCTCACTGTGGCCCTGAAGAAATTCTCCACATTGTTAGTTCCTCTTTGCCAGTATTTTATGGTGGGAATACTATGACCCTGTACCTGGCCACTCTGAGGTCATGAAAGGATTTCATGTATGACCTCAGTGGTGGTCATAGTTTTATGCTTTTCTGACCTATGTGCCAGGTCCCAGACCCTGAAAGGGGATAGGAATGGCCCTAGGTATCCCAAAACCATCAGCTCCCCTATTACTTACCCCATAATGTGTTGGACATATGAGGGGTAACGGAATTCTGTCTTATTGGCACCCTTCTTTGCCACATCTGCTCCTGTGGACAGAATCACCAGCTCAGGATGAGGACCAAGAGGGTTACCCCAAATGATGATCTAACCAAACAACCCACCAGCAAAATGCTTTTTTTTTTTTAAGTAAAAGAAGAGGATCAAATGCAGAATGCAGCCTTGTTGATGGCATGCTACCATTTATGTGGCCTGGATGCAGGGCATGGACACATTTGTCTGTGTACTCAGCACCTGTCTCCAGTGGCCCACTGGAGCATCATTGCCCAGGAAGGAGGCCCTGGTTGGGAGGGAGACTCTTCTGTGAATGCACTGGAAGTCTTATAGAAAGAAGTTTCCATCTAGAAAAGGAGAGTTGCATAGTTTGGCACTGGAACCCATTCCTGAGCATTGTGCCTACTCTCTCTGTGGCACTTTAAGTTCTTAAAGTACATGGAGAAACTGAGACCGTGAGATGCCCAACCACCCAGCAAGGTCAGCTTGCCGAAGGAATGCTTGGGCAGAGGCACAGTGAAGCCTCCCCTGGGCACTTTCTGGGTGATCCTCTGGCAGAGTAAGTGAATATGAAGCAGTAGAGAATGGAGGTTCTCAGCCTTCCTTCTACCTACCTGCTCTGTGTGCCTCCAAAAGGAAGGCATTGCCATAGTCCCAAAAGAAGAAGTTTTCTTTGGCCAGCCTGTTGATGGCTGAGATGTGCCTTCTTAAGCTGCAACAAGCAGGCAAGTCAGCTCTCCCACTGGTGTTCCACTACAGACTCCCAGCCCCACCCCATCAAGCCTTTTGATGGCTTCCAACCCCTACTGCCTAGAAAGCCCTGTGCTTCTCCCACCCTACCATCTGTTTAAGCCCTCTGTATCTTTCAAGACCTAGCTGGAAGCCCCTACAAACAAGCATTTATAGTTCACCAACCCATTTGGCCCTTGGGGAAAAAAGATGAAAAGGGCTGATTTAAGTCAGAAGTGCTGAAGATTTTTCAAATATCTCCAGTGTTCCCAGGAGGAATATGTGTTCATGATTGTCTGACAGGAGGAGGCAGAGGCTTGGACAGGTTAAGGTTTTGCCCAGTATCACACATCTAGTCACTTGAGAACCAGGTTTCAGCCAGACTCAGGTAAAGTATGCTGCCCAGACCAGAAGGTCCTGCTGTCCCCACCCTGAGAAGCACTGGGCCTGCTCTCACCTTTCCTGCACTAGGTCCTTGAAAGCAGGTGGGTTGGAAGCCATGAGGTGCTGGGCCTCAATGAAGCTGAGCTGCACAGGGTAGTAGCCTCCATTAAATGGGTTATGGCAGGATGTCTGATCTGACCCAAGATCCACCAAGAGCTCTCCTGTGGTGTCCAATTCATGGACGAGGTGCTCCCTGGAGAAGAAGGGGATGCATGGTATGAGACCTAGGCTGGGGCAGCCATGTGGTGATTGCAGCCCATTTTCCCACCCACGTCCTGGAAAGGGCACTGATGGGAAGGCTGTCACGGGTGTGGGTGGGCGTGGGGTTGTTCAAGGCAGGACTGGGCTGAGGCTCAAAGTTTGCACCCTGGAAGTATCTGGTCAGGGTCAGGAGCTTTGCTGGGAGGGCTTCACCTGGTCACCGTAACACTACCAATTCCCAGCCCCCTACTTACCAAAGGTCCACTACATTGCCATGGTAACCAAGACTGAGTACCTCCTTCTTTTTCCTTGCTTCCCTAGAAGTACACAAAAGCAGAACAGATGGCCCTGCCATGTCTGTCCACAACTGCCCCGACCAGCCTGCCTCCTATCATTTCACAGGTAAGATGTGCTAGGAGGCCACTAAGAGGATTGTGTGTGAGTGTGGGGCCTGTGAAGTACGGACTTTAATGTCCTCATCTCTTGTTCAGAACGCAAAACCAAAAGGGAAAAAGGCAGACTTGAATGCCCCTGATGGGAAAACTAGCCCCACACTGGTGATAACTCTTCCTAAGAAGGTTCACAGGATCAGGGCTATGGCTGTCAGAATCAGGATCTTCATAGAACTCACTCCAGGGGTCCTGAAATTATTCACTAAAGAGGATTTTCAAACTTGTTTGGAAAAATAGAAGAACAAGAATCAAAACCTATTTTGGTGAACAGAGGGTGGAAATAAATAATAGAATTTGTGGGTGGTAGAGGTGTCAAAAACCAAAATGGGTCAAACGGAGTGGCCCCGCTAGGTATGTAGATGAACTGCACATTGGGCTGGAAAAAAAGAAGACTGTGGGAGCCAGGCACATCCTTGCACTCATGAGGGGCAGGTAAACCAGCTGTAGTAGTGCAGACCTGTAATCCCAGCACTCTGGAATCACAAGCTTGAGCCCAATATGGCAACTTATTGACTTAGTAAGACCCTGACTCAAAATAAAAAATTTAAAAGATAAAAAAAGACCTGGGGATTTAGCTCAGTGCATTCTGTGGTCAATCCCTAGTACTAATACCAAAAAAAAAAAAAAAAAAAAAAACAAGGCCATACTACTGAAGCAGGAAAGGACACATCTCAAAGCAGTGATGGAGGCCAGTGTGGATCATGAAACATCCAGGAAGGAGGATCACAGGAACCGAAAGCCTATAGAAGGCTAACTGCATCTCCATCAGTTTCTTCCTCTGCTCAGTCTATACAGTGGAGTAGACCAAGTATTCAAGAAAGCCCTTCAAACTGATTTAGTTTTGTATGTATGTGCATATTGTGCATGTGTGTTCACATATGCATACATGTATGCACCTGTGTGTATGTGCATACATGTGTATGTGTGGATGTATGTGTTTATGTGCATGTCTGTGGTTATATGTATGAGCATGTGTATGCATTTATGTGTGTTTTTGTGTGGATGTATGTGTGTATGTGTGCATGCTGTGTGCATCCTCAAGATGCACAGCATGAAACCTGGACAAGAGCTATGTCTGGCAAGATCCTTTGGTGCCATGCCTGGAGTTGGGAATTTCACCTATTATTAACAGACATCTGAGAGGTGTTTTTGGTTTTGTAGGGCTTTTTGTAGGTGCTGGGATCTCTAAGAGTTTTAAACAGGGAGGTACTGTGGTGAAATTGGTGTTTTAGAAAGATCTATGTTAAAATAGGGTGTGCTCTGAATAATGGGTATATTTGGAAGGTCACTGTGTTATTTCTCATGTATAAACAACTTGGAAGCTCCCCTTCATGATTCTCATTGGAGCCACACTAGGGAACCACTGCCCCAAACAGGACTCTGCTCTTTAAAGTTTTGGGTTTCCTCAAATTTGGCACCCAAGTAGTAGTATCCAGAGCAGCTACTTCCATTATGTCTCCACTAAATATCGCTGAAGACACCAAATGGGAGGAGAAATGCCACCACCAAGCCACACAGGCAAGCAGTCAGCACAGTGAGAGTGAGATTTGCCCCTGCCAAGTCCATGGAGCCATGGGAGAAGTGTGATTCCAATAGGCACTTCCCAAAAAGTGAGCAGGTGAGCAGGTAAGTAGGTGAGCACTTGTCATGTGCCAGGTTCCTGAGACCACACAGTGAGAAACACAAGGTACACCCTTCATGAAACTGAGGCTGAGCAATGAACACCAAGAGAACGAGCTGAAACCCATCACGGTGGATACACATGCAGTAATCTCCTATTCACTTTAGACAACAACTGGTGAGAAATAGGATCTTTCAAGGTTCATCATGTGACATTTCTACAGGACGACCTCTGGCTCAGCACGTGGTGTGGTGCCCACCTGTAACCAGGTATCAGGTATTAAAAAGCCCCATACAAAGAAGCCCAGCCTCCCAGCCTCTTCTCATGGTCTCCCCCTTCCAGTGCTCCAGTAGCAGCAGCAGCTGTACCTGAGTCTCTCAATGCAGTGGTCCAAGCTGTCAGTCACTTCCATCAGCCAGCCTTGCTGGTGACGTTTTACAAGAGCTGCTTTATCAACCTGGGGCCATGAAGCACAGAGCCACTTGTTACAAATTATCCTGAGAATATCAAAGTACACTATTTAGGTGCTGTCTCTTTAGGTGCTGAGACCACTCCTTTTATTACACAGTCTTGGGGCAGGCACTGTGAGCTTCCTTTACACTAATTCCACTTCTTGTCTCCTTTGCTACCAGAAACAAGATTTCAAAATTCAGGATGACGCTATTCAGCTCCAGCAGATGAACCACAACCATTAATGAACCATTAATTACACCAACCTGTGTACTGTTCTTATCCTCCTTTGTAGGTAAGAACATACACCTGATTCAAGACTGACCAATGAGATAAAAGGAGTTTCCGAGACATGATTTTCCTGCTGAAACAATCAGTCATAGCTGATATTTCCCTTCTTACTTCTTCCTGCTTTGAATGTGGTTGGGATGGCTTGGGCTTGGGCAGAAATTTTGTATGCATGAAGGGAACCTGGTAGAATCTAGAGATGTTGAACCTGACATCACTGAGCTGCTGAACCAATGCTGGTACTGTTACTGACACAAGAAAAATAAAACCCCATTCATGTGAGTCACTATAGATGCATTTTCTATTACTTGCAGCCCAACTCAGCCCTAACAAGTACACGTATGTATGATACAGAATTAATATCAACTAGGTACAAATTACATTGGTTTATATCCCCAAGGCTTATTTCAAAGCTCCTAAGTTCCTCAACATTTTGCTTCTCTTCTTGTCCTTGCTACCTACCAAAGAGAGGAATGAGACCCACTGAAAGTAAAGTATCCACATACACCTCTACTGAGGGGTGACTTGTCTGCCTCTTCCACCTGACTCTGCACTGTTCAAGTTGGGGAAGTCTACACTCATTTATTTGTTAACATTTATTCTCTCCCATCTAGAGTCCAGGAGTTTGATGGGACATAGGGAAGTGTCCCATAAATGGATGATCACAGTTGCATGGAAAGGCAGTCAATAGGCATCGACTGCGGAGGGTGATGGACACTTTGAAAAGAGCAAACATGTGCTATAGTGGGAGCCTACCCAGTGAGGTTGTGCAGGGGTTTGTGGAGGGTTTGAGGGTGAGAGAAGATGAGAAGTATAGGTGTGAGCAGCTCTGAAAGGAAGGGAGAGAGGGAGGGAAGGAGGGACGAACAAAGACAAAAGCTACTGCCACTCACCTCTGCTATCACACCAATACAACCCACGATGACTGCAGCCTTGGCCTGAGCCCCGCTCATCCCACCAAGCCCAGAGGTGACAAAGACTTTCCCAGCCAACTCCTCGATGCCCAGGTATCGACGTGCAGCATTCAGCACAGTGAGCTGCAGGCAGAGGAGGCCAGGTACTCACTATCTCCTGCCACATTCGCCTCCCAGGATTCACCCTCTTATACAGGTGCGGCCAGTATCTCACCACTGTGCCATGGACGATTCCCTGGGGACCGATGTAGCAGTAGCTGCCTGCTGTCATCTGGCCGTACCTGACCACAGAGAGAGCAAGCCAAACAGGAAGCTGAGCCAGATTCCAGGCGTAGCTTTTTCCAATCCCCACTTTAGGAACTTGAAAATGAACTTTTAACTACCCCTAAAGGCATTCCTACATTCGTTTTTTAAAAAAAGAGAGAATATAATAGGCTATAGCCCTTCAGTTTTGGTCCCCTCCTGCCTCCCAGATTTTTTACAAGCAGATTTTATTTTCCTATAAATTGACATGTAGTTGGTTAAGAAAATGTCACTTTGGGGAATACAGACTATAGCTGAACAAGGTCCAGCACACTCATGCTACATGCTAATGCCCATGTAAAGTCATGTACACGAATGGGAGTGGCCAAAATCTAAAGGATCTGAAATGTTCATCTGCAGGAGAAAAGAGAAACAAATTACAGCATATGAACATGATGAAATACGTATGACAGAGAAAAGGAGCAGAGACCCTATTATATGTGAGGTGACCCAGTGAAGGAGCCAGACAGGAGTGGGCATATTCTGTAGAATTCCATTAGGTGACATTCAGTAAACTTCCTTCTGAGGAATCTTCCTATTGGAAGGGGACATGGGGAATGTGGTGGGGCCAGACCTCACCAATTGGTTGTGGCAAGGGTGCACACATTTTTCAAAATTCATCAAGCCTTATGCTTCAGATCTGCATACTTTGCTGCCCATTGCATTTCAATGGGTGACATTTAGAGTATTATTTTGCCTGAGAGGTTCCTGGTGTTATTCTGAACATTTACCTAAATGGTCTCATTCTGTAAATTTTGCTTCAGCACCCCACTGTAGGGTTCTTTCCACATCAGCACATAGAGACCCCCACTCATTTCTCTTCATGGCTTCACAGCATACAGCATCCAAAATCACTGAATGTTCTTTACTCTCCTTGCTAGTAATCAGGATGGCTTTGGTTTTGCTATATAACAACTGCAGTATAACCTCTATTTGCTTCCCTGAACCTGTGTGTCAGTCATGTCTCCCAGGGTAGAAATCAAGGAGGGGGACCACTGGGTTATCACATACCAACATTTTAAATATTAATAGAAACCAAATTCCTAAGTGACTGTCACCGAGGCATAAGCATGGCTGTTTCCATCACTTGATAATTATGAAACGTATAAATTTTTGGCAATGTGGTAGGGAAAGGTGGCACTTGCTGATGCCTGAAGACCAGGACATTCTTGACAGTACTGCTATTTGCTTTTCTCCCTTGAAAATGTCAAGTTCATATCTCTTCTATTAGATTCCTACCCCCTAGATATTCCCCCCAGCCCCTTCTCTCTACTGGATCAAGGATGCCTTCTCACAGACCTGTGTCTTAGTACCAAGCCTATCACATAACCATGCAGAGCACTTGACCACTCAGAACCTCTTGTTTTCTCTTCTAAAAAATGGGGCTATATTTCCCTTATCTTGAAAGGTTGAATAACTACTACAAACATAAGAGAATAATGTAAATATAATAAAGATCTACCAGGGAGACAGGTGTCCCACCAGGGCCACATGGAACCCTTGTTGGGTTGTGCTCCCTGTTAGGGCTGCATTCACTTGAGCTTTGTGTCATGGTGCTGAGGAGTTCACCTTTATCACTTTGTTAATTTCCTCACAACACTTAGCTATAGGAGCTATTAATATCCCTTCTGTACAGATGATACCCAAGACTCAAGGTTGCACAAGGACACTTGGCAGAGCTGGGAACTGACTGAGATCATTGGTGCTTACACAGTAATTCTTAGAGTTAAAGTGGTGGGGACACACGGTTTATACATATGAAACTTTGACATTAATGGCTGGGTGGCACCTCTTCCAATCATTTCCAGCCTTGCTGTACTGACTTAGACTTCCACCAACAATCTGTATCTGCCTTTTTCCTCACATCCTCACCAGCACTGCGTAGTCTCTGTGTTTTCAGTTTTGTTAACCTAATAGTGCAAAGACTTAGCTATAATTAGCATTTATCAGATCACTTATGTATTTAAATCTTTTTCTGTCTCTATTGGCAATTCTCACTTTGTATAAGTACCATGAGCTAACCAATTGCGCTGCTGGAACTCCGAAATTCTCATTTTGTCTTTAGTCAATTTGTTCCATAGCACCTGAGGTAAACCTTTTGGTAATGCAGCCACACCAGGTCTGATTCCTGCAGCTCTGCCCTCTTTGAACTTCAATCTTGGATCTGCTAAACAGAGAAGCACTATGACTCACCTAGGGTCACAGTTGTGAAGCAGTGGACCAGAACATGGAATCCCATCATTGTGACCCTATGGTTGCTTCCACTGGCATAGGAAAGGCTTGCAGGTCTAGCAATGTTAAAAACAAAAGTAGCAACAGCAGCTACTTATGGTCAACAAAAAATATTAACTGGGTTTCTGAGTTCAGTTTCTTTCTCCACAAAATGGGGTAATAAAGATACCTATTTTGGAAAATTGCATAGAAGGTTAAATGTAATATCATCTGTCAATCCTGGGATAATAAAATGGTAGTGCCTGTTATCATGATTATAATACAAAGTGTTATCATGGGCTCTCCTTGGCTGCACTTTACATAGCAGTTAGCCTAGGGTGAAATTCCTAAAAACCCACAAAATTATACTCGAGGACAACAGTCACTGCAACATTAGTTATAACCCCAAAGAACTGGAAAAACCCAAATCAGGAGATGAGTGGGATAAATGGGCTATAGTGCAATTGAACACTGTGGGTCAAGCAAGAATATGTTAGATGTATGTTTCCTGCAATGGAATAACCTCCATGGGAAGGTGCAGAGGCCATCTTAGCTACCTATGTCATGAATTCACACACATGAAGAACACTTGGAAGGACACAACATACATTTAACTGAGGAGTCTGGGGCAAGAGAGGGCTTTCATTTTCACTATAGTTCATTTCACAATGTTTGATGAAATAGTTTTTGATTCAGAACATGAATCAACTTTATAACAAATGAAAATCTGTAACCCTAGGAGGAGCTCTCGAGGGCAATAGTACCTGATGGCCAGGGGTTGATTTGCTCAGGTGCACAATGTGTCAAGCCCATCATATGGGGCATGTGGGATGTGTGCATCTCATTACAGTATACCTATGGGTACCAAAATCCTCACACACTCAAGTGAGTGATATAAAATGGTATATCATTTGCACAGAACGTATGCACATCCTCTTAAATCATCTCTAGAGTATACAATCCCTAACATAATGTAAATGCTATGTAAATGGTTGTTGTATTATTTGGGGAATAATGATGAGAAAAAAGTCTGCATATGTTCATTGCACAGATTTTTTTCAAATACACTATTTTTGATCTACAGTTGGTTGAATCTGAGGATGTAGAACCCATAGATATTGAGGACCAATTGTACATGCAAATACTACTTCAAGAGAAAAATCTAAACAAATACTGAATCCCATTCAGTAATATTTGCAACTTACCTTGAGGCATATCCAAAAGCAAGCTGAATGGATGGATGGAAGGAGAGACAGATAGATAAACATGTACTAAAGTGAGCATAGTAGCACATTAATTACAGACTTTCGATGATGTTCCCTACAAATTCTTTTAGTTTTCTTTATGTTTGAAATTGCTCATAATAAGATCTTTGAAAAAGGTAGAATCTGAAGTTGTATGTTCTCTTGCTTAGATGTATATAAAAATGTAAGCATTTACATTACCAGGGAATTTGTAAAAAATGAAATTACTATGCTATAGTGCTGTGATTGTGTTTTTCAAAAATTTTATTTAATACTGACCACACTGTTTTATAGTAAAGTATGATTAGGAAGGAAATGCCATGTTAATAAACTAAAATAGTGACTTACATTGTAACTCCCAAGGCAAAGAGCTTTTCATACTCTGTCCTGGAGGAATAGTTGGGAATGACCTGAAAAAGAGGGAGGGAATAGACAGCAGGGGCCGAGGGCTGGGGCTCAAGCTTGGAGCCCTAGGAAATGGTTCCTGAGCAGTTTCAGGAGCACTTGGCTATCCTCCTTGTCCCCAGTACCCCCTTTCTTGTGGCTCAGGCCCTGGGCAGGCATGGTGCCCACTACTTCTGACACACCATCCCGTTGGTGATGACCAGCCGTGGGACGCCAGGGGTGCTCGGGAAGAGGCCCAGCGGATGTCCACTGTACATGACCAGAGTCTGCTCCTCAGTCATCTTCGACAAGTAGTACATGGTCAGCCAGAACTAAAGGGATAGCAAGCATGCAAGGTTCTGTAAGCCTAAGTGGGCAGTCCCCCTCCACCCCAGGGCTTCTAGGCCATGCCCAGGACTAGAGATCTAGACTCCTAGACCTACACCTAGACTAGAGACCCAGGACTCCTGCAGGCCCTGGGGTGGTCCTGCCCAGTGGCCCTCTTCTTCCAGGTTCTCCATCATACTCCCTGGCTTCTGGATCCTTCAATAACATTGCTCCCACCCATTTTTATAATGGCAACATCCCAAAATAGTCTCCAGTGCAGGAGCCTTGGGCATGCAGGAAGCAGATCCCTAGATTTGTCATTTCATCCTAGGCTGAGGGAGGTAGGGATGAGGCCACACAGCCACTGTACCTGAGCCCAGTTGCTGAACACCTGCCCATTTCCTCCATAGGTCACCAGCTCCTGGGGAAACTGGAAAAGACATGGTGTTGTCTGAAAAGAGGACCTAGGAATGGAAATGGAGCTGTGGACAGTGAGGGGAACAGGGAGAGGAAGGACCCCCAACCCCTTGGCTGGATTCATTGGGGGAAGAAGATGGGGAAAGAGGGAGAAGCAAGAAGCATGAGGCCCAGGGACAGGTGTATCTGCAAGAACATTGGGTTCTCTGTGGGTGAGGTAAGGGGTCTGCCTGGGGCTAGGGTCAGAGATGGGTCTGGGATCACCTTGGGAACTTGGACTAAGATTAATGTCAAAGTTAGTCTGATCAGAGTCTGCGTCCAGGACCAGTTCTCACTTGCTAGACAAAGCAGTTAAATGTTAGCAACCTTCAAGAGCCTTTCTTGCCCTCAAGAAACTCTGGGACTTACTCTTGGAGGCTACCCTTTCTCAAATATGAGTAACTGACACAGACTGTCTAACATAGGATGCCCAAGTCAGGCACATGTAGTCATATCCATGCCATCCAATATGGCAGCCACCAGCCTCAGGCAACCGAGCAGTGCTCTACTTGAGAAATACACCATGATTTCAAAGACTCAGTGTGAAAAATGTGTAAAATAGCTCTTTAATAATTTTATATTTATTATATGCTAAAACATTTTGATATATTAGGATTAGTAAAGTATAGTATAAAATCTGTTTCTTCATACCTTTTTATGTGATGATTAGAAAATTTGGCTGGGTATGTAGCTCAATGGTAGAGCATTGCCTTACAGGTGTGAGGCTCTGAGGCTCTGGGTTCTGCCCCCAGTACAGTAAAAACAAAAACAAAAACAACAACAAAGAAAAGGAAGAAAATTTAAAATTATAGGTACATCTGTCACATTGGTGTCAATGTCCCGGTTTTGATGTGGTCCTGGAGTTACAGAAGAGGTAATTAAAGAGAAGCCAGGATAAGGGTATGGGGGCCCTTGTACTAGTTTTATAACATCGATGAATCTGTAAGTAAATTAAAAGCTTGAAAACATTACATATGTGTCTCATGCTACATTTGTATTGAGGAGAGCTGGGCCTCGGAATAGTTTTCTCAGCCATTACCTGGGCTACGGCAGGGTCCAGATTGTTCATGATCATGTGCATGATGGCTGCGGCGGCTTTTGTCTGGCAAGGGTACTGCTCGATTGGGTAGGCTCTGCAAGGGGAAGTCCAGGCACCAGGCATGACGGTGGGAAGGTGCCAGACTTTCCTTCCTGCTAAAATGCAGAACCCATTCTAGCCATAGCGTCTGGCCACACAGGTATGGATAGTGAGACATGGCACCTGGAGAACTTGGTGGGAGCCTCAGCACAGGAGCCCACCTGTCTGTACAAACTACATACTAAGGCCCACCCCACTGGTGGTTAGATAGTCTGAGCTTCCACATGGCCAGGGACAGGGAACTCGGGGCCCTCACCCCAGCCAGTCTCTCTCACCACTTGACAAGGGGTACCTAGGAGAAAGCTGATGGCAAAGCAGAGGTGAAATATACTTTCAAGAAGCCTTTACCTAGCTGGGTGTGATGGCACATGCACTCCTGAAGGGTGAAACAGGAAGTTTTGCAAGTCCCAGCTCAGCCTGCTTAGACCCTGGCTCAAAACAAGTGTTCTGAGTGGATTTTGTTTGCAATTTGGCTTCAGGATTTCCCAGGATGGACTGCCCAGGTCAGCAGGGCCAGGCAAGAGAGATCTGTTTCATGAGGGGTCTCTGTCTTCTGACCAGGCTTGGCTGCCTTCAGCTCTCAGCTCCAGACGCCAAGGATGACAGCACACGTCCTTCTCCCACCATCCTCACCCTGAGTGAGGGAATCAGCTTGCTATGACACCTCCAGGTGGCCCCTAACTTTGACAGACAAGATTTTCCTGGCTGTGGACTCCCCTGGTTTCCCGATCTTTAGCACAGCCTGCTTTAAATCATGTCCACCAGTGCTCACCTCATTTCAATATTGGGACAGAACCTGTACATGTAGATGTGCCCATATAGTCGCAGCTCCTGGGCAAACTCTGGGGCCAGCAGTTCCTGGACATCAGGTGGGAAGTAGCGCAGGGCATTCCTCAGTGCCAACTGTGTAGGAAAGGAGGATGTGACAGGCAGCTTAACAGGGGTGTCCAGGCCTGGATCCCCCTATGCTGGGCTGTTCTTCTTCCCCACTTGGATCTTCTTCTGCTCCACTCAGCCATCTATTGATCCATTCTGAGACCAACGGGTTCATACTCCAGGCCCATCTGCACTATCGCCTTCTATTGGAGGCCTTCCCTAATTGCTGCCCCATTGCCTTCAGGAAGGTGGACCTAGCTCTTCCTTCTTCTTGCTCATTATGGACCAGCCCCAGCCCCAGAGATTAGGCTGTTTGGCCCAAAGCAAGGCCAGTGAGGGGCCTGAGGCCTGTGGCTTGGGGATCAGGGAGATGCAGCCTCAGGAGGAGAAGAGCTGACACTTCATGCGAGCACAGAAGCAACCTCCACCTGGTGCCCAGATTAGGTAAGAGTTTGAAGGCTGAATTCTCACCTAGGTAGACTCCAGCAGTGTACATTGTACACCTATAGCTCCTAGGAGACCTGGACAGAGTCTGAGGCCAGGGACAGGAGGAGACTGAGGGAAAGGAGAGCCCCTCTGAGGCTTCTTACCCAACCACAGAAAGCAACCTAAACTTCCACCCTGTCCAATCACTCTTCTCCCTCAGGCCCCGCATGCTCCAAGTCCTGCCTTCTGGCCTTTGCACTTATGCTTCCATACCCCAAACTCCCCTTTATTACCATAACTTCTCATTAGGAGAACAGATCTGTCTTGGCTTTACTGTTTTTTTGCTTTTCTTTTTCTTTTGCAGTGTTGAGGATGGAATTTAGGACCTTGTGCCTCCTAGGCAAGCATTCTTCCACCAAGCCATACCCACAGCTCCAACTTCTAGCCTCCTTCTTTCCACCTTTGGTTCTCTTCAGAGCTTTTCACCATGGGGCCTGCGATGTCTTTGTTTCCTTCTTATGTCTTATAGGCTGCAGGAGGCCCTGAGGCAAATTTGCAGCATGGGTTGGGAGCTAGTGAGGCAGGGTGGGGCTCTGGGAGATGCCCAGGTCTCCCAATGAACATTGTGGCCGCTTATTCAACCAGCTAACTGTGGCTAACCAGCTGCTCTGGGGTGAGGAAGAGGGGAAACTTAGGTGTGGTAAATTTGCTCACTCACTCAACAAATGTCTAACTAAGAGAGAGATGGTGTGAGGCTGGACGATTTATGTGGACTGTGGACAGAAGTCAGGAGGGCACAGGAGAGACAGGGGCCCAGGACTGAGCTCTGAGAACACTAGCATTCGGTAAAGACACACATTTAAAAGAAAAGAAAAAAGGAAAGCAACCAGTGCATAAAGGGACTGCTGTCAATAAGGTCACTGGACTGGGGGACCAGTTGAAGGCTAATCAACCCCCATACCCAGAGGGAAGATGTGGCTCCTTCCACAGTTCCAACTCCCCGGAAATCTACTCCAAGGGCTCCCTACCTTTCAAGCAAAAGGCAACATGTGTAAGCAAAGCTGAGATGGCAGCCTGTCAGCTCCTGGGTGTCCTCTGCCACCACAGACACCCTAGAGGCTGATCACTGTCTCGCAGCCACAATGGTGTCACCCCAGAGACAGATGGCAGGGCCTTCTGTGTAAGCCCTGGTGACTAAATGGAGGCGACCAGCAGGGAGGCGAACAAGGGGAAGGAAACGTTACCACTGCCTCAACATCCACTGAGCTGAGCCAGGTGGGGAGAACTATGAGGCAGGGTGCCAGCCACCCCTTCTCTCCTGACCTTGAGCTTCCCGCCCCTCTACCTCTCCCTATCTGTCCACCAGCACCCACACTCCAAGGACCCCCCTCAGTGTCTCCTCCTGTTACCCACCCACACCCTTTCCTGCTTCTTCCTAGCTCCACCCCTCCCAAACCGCCTCACCTCCCCCTTCAGCAACCCCCAAACAAGCCCTCCCTCTGCCTTTGTGGGCAGCATTCAGGGGAAAGTCTAGGGTACTGTCACTCAAAAAATGTAGTGTCTCTGGGGGTGGCGGAATTGCTTTGTGTGTTAATGGGAATCGATCCCAGGACTTTGGCACTGAGCTACATCCCTACCTTTTTTTTTTTTTTTTTTTAATTTTGAGACAGGGTCTAAGTCCCTGAGTTGCCCAGGTGGAACTTGAACTTGTGATCCTGCTGCCTCCCAGAGTAGTGGGATTCTAGGCATATGCCACCATGACCAAGAATCATCTCTAAATCTTTGTTGTATTGGTATTTTCTACTTTCTTCCCACTGTTTTTGAAATTCTTGACAAAGAAAAAGTAGGTAGAAAACTTACATAACCATGTCACCTGCTTTATTTCATTTGATCTTCTGCACAGCTGTCTTAAAACATTTTCATCCTCAGTTTACAAATGAGAAAAGCCAGCCCCCAGAGTTGCCCCAGGGCAGAGCAGCTTCAGGACCGCTGGTGTGTGCACCCATTCACCTAGGTCTATGCCCTGGTAATAAAATGGGGGCATCAGATGAGGGGCAGCCTGGACTGCAGCTCTCTCTAGCACTCATCCTTCTCTCAGTAGGGTGATAGCTGCAGTGCACATCCACTCAGATGGGGAGGGGGCATTTACAAATGGACACAAGAGCTGACCATTGGCAGCAGAATAGGAAAGTCATGAGGCAGTGTTTGGGCTGGGCAAGGTACACATTTCACTCTTCTTGCTGGGATTGGTCCAGTTTACAACTTCCTGGTTCCTCCTCCCATTAGGGGTGTCCACACCACCATCATTTACTGTCTGGGTGACCTTGAGCCTCAGGGTCTCCTCATCTGTAAATGGAGTCTATAATTCCAAACCTCAGGGTGGTCATTCCTAAGAAGTATCAGGTGTGGCAGAGTCTGGCATACATTTCTCCCTCCCCCAGAGCTCTTGGAGGCTAAAGTGGACAGTTGAGGGCCAGAATTAGGGGGTGCCTGCCTGGACTTCCTGGAGGGTACCTAGAAGACACCAGGTCCCAGGAGACATGAGTTGGACTTCTTACCTGCTCCTCCATGGGGCTGAGGCCGGGGGTCCTGACAGGGGCGTGTGGCACCCCAGCCCAGCGTCCCTGGTTTTGTGGGAGGGGTCGCAAGGGCAGGCCGGAGCACAGCACCTGGAGGCTGGACATGTCTGCTGAGATTGAAGTAGAGACCAGCACAGTGGGGAGGCCGGGAGGACAATGAACAATCAGGACTCAGCAGGATGGGGACCTCCAGTCCCAGGGACACCTCCTCCAGCCCCTCATTGGGCCCTGCGCCTATGGAAGGAGCCACGTGTGGGTCACAGGGGCAGGTCCTTGGGTCACTAGCTGGCCGATAGGAATATTGATTTGGGGGGAGGGGCAGGCTTCCTGTTGGGGAGACTTGGGCCAGATGGGGGTCCACTCATGCTTCAAATGGGGTGCCCAGAGGGGCTTATGTTTAGGATATGATTTGGGGAGCTGGTGGGGCTCTACCATTGGAATTTGCTCTGGAAGTTTCACGGAGTTACACCAAGGTGGCAATATTGGAACTTGTGTCCTGGTAATGGGGAACCATGTGACATGGAACTTGGCAGAGACTCTGGCAGAAACCAGTGTCCCTTGTACATCTCTTCCCTGCCACCTAAGAGGGAGTGTGCATGGGTGGCAGTTGTGGTTGGACTCTCCCCCCAAACTTGTATACCTTCTTTTGGCTCTCAAGGCACGACAGGGTACTCTACTCCAATCTCAAAGCAATTTGTGATGTACCACCTATGGGATGGCCCTCATCCCCTAATCCATGAACAATTCTTCAAGAAAGCATTTCTCATTAGCCCTATGCTATAGAGAAAGAAACTGTGGCCCAGGTCTCACACAGCCAGGAAGTGACCACAGTTGAATCCTAGCATACCTGAAAAGCAACACCTGGGTGCAGATCCAGTTGTGCTCCTGATCTGTTCCATGATCTCTGGTCCCTGTCCAATCTACACAAGTGAACAGTAACCAAATGCACAGGCTGCTGTGGACAGGAAAGGCCTGAGCAGGTAAGTGACAGATTCCACCTCCTAGGCTTTGCTTCTCTGAGCATATCACATAAGGCAGTTTACTTCTCCCTCACACCTGTTCTGTGAGGTGCACCATCTCATTTCATGGATGAGAAAACAGGTTAGAGAGGTGATGGGGTGAAGCTTGGATCAAGCTCTCTTGGAACCCAGAAGTCTAGCTCTAGCCACCCTCTGGGCTGCTTTTGCTCTCTTAGGGTACTGTGAGCGGCTGCTACTGGATGTTATGTTGTAATGTAATAAAAAAATATTTATCTATCTCTGTCACTTCCTAAAACCTTTGTAGACAGGAATACCAGGAGAATCTTTGGTTCTGACATTTGTTGTTTGCCCCAGAGTTCTTGACAATGAATTGGTAAATCTCTTGGAATTTCCAGGATGTTGGAGCATCTTTTGCCCGAGTGAGATGACTCCTGATGGGCTCCCAAAAGCACCTGGCTGCCTGGGAACTTCCACCTCCAACCCCAACCTCCAGAGAAGAGAAAGGGCTGAAGATTGAGTTCATCATCAATGGCCAATGAGGTAATCAGTCCTGCCAGTGAATGAAGCTTCCACAAAAACCCCAAAGGACAGGGTTTGGAGAACTTCTGGCTAGCTAAATGCCTGGACATTCCTGGAAGGTGGCCCATCTCAAGTGGACTTGCCCCTTTGCCAAACCACATACCGTGCATTTCCTCCATGTGATTGTCTATCTGTATCCTTGGTAATGTCCTTTATAATAAACCTGTAAACACAAGTCAAGTGTTTCCCTGAATCTTGAGTCATTAATTAACAAATTAATCAAACTTGAGGAGACGTTCACAGGAACCCCAATTTATAACCAGGGCAGAAGCACAGGTCACAACCTGTGCTTTCAACTGGCATCTGAAGTAGGCACCACCCTGTGGGAATGAGTCTTTAATGGTGGGATCTAGTGCAATCTCTAGGCAGAGTTGGAACTGAGTTGAATTCAAGGACATCGTGCTGAAAAATTGGTTGTTGATAGACTGAAAACTTCACATATGAACTGATGAGCAGCACACGATGTGCTGAGTATGTGAGTGACAAGGAAAATCTCCCCCTCCTTGTCTCTCTCTCCCTTACTGGGATCTGAGGTATCACCCACAGGGAGGGTGCCTAGAAGGGTGGCCAGCAGAAGCCACTCAGGCCTGCCTTCTGCCATTCCTCCTGTTCCTCCATCTTTTCAACACAGTTGACTGAGCCCCTCCTTGTACCAGGCACTCATGTAAGGCCTGAGAACAAACTGAATGACACAGGTGTCCTTGTCATACCCCCTGTTCCTGAGCACTGCATACAGCCTGGGCCCCAGTGGCCAGCACCTATGTCTGTCTGTTCATGGGCTTCTGGTGCCCCCAAACTGCTTCTCCCCACACAGAGGCCAGAAAGACAGGGCTGGGAAATTGGCAGCCCCTCCTCAGCCAGGAGCCAGGGGAGGGAGTAATGGCTATGGGGAGCACACCTGGTCTCCCAAGTTCCAGCAGGTCTGCCCGCCAGGGTGGTATCGTGTCTTTCCAGGCTGCTTTCCCTTCTGTTTCACTCCCTGATCCCCTTAACAGGCAGATCCTCACTAAATTCTCAGTACTGAGCCCTTGTCTTAGGGTTCACATCTGCAGGAGACCTCATCCACAGATGGCTCAAGAGAAGCCAAAAATCCCAGTAGTTTTGGTGAAATGTCCTGGTTTTTAAATGAGCTATTTACAATTTAAAAATTTAATTAAAAATTTAAATTAATTTTTTTAACATTTCACAGGAGATATCTCTCTGAAAAACTCCTTCCCCAGACAGCTGTTGGGCCTTATTCCTCCCTGTAGTCCTGCCTCTGCTCACATGTCATCTCCACCCTGAGGGCTGCCCCTCCCACTCTGATCACATCAGATACTCCTCCCATCCCTTTAACAAGCTCTATTTTCTTCATAGCACCAATCATAGCTATTTACTTCCATTTTTATGCCCCCATCTATAATTTGAACTCCAGAGAACTCTATCGGAGCCTCCCCATAAAGAGGATGTAGGTATCTGAATGAATGGAGTGAATGTTAGCCCTGGTGGAAGGGCAGGAAGATACAGAGGAAAATTTCTCCAGGAAGTTCTTAAGTCTTGGAACTCTAGTCAGGCACCCTTGTGCCCCAAGACCCAGGATCTTCCCAGGGAGCCTTCAGGGGCCAACTCTCCAGGGACATCTGCAGATGACGGGCTGAGGTGTTTTTTTCAACATTGGCCACCAGGTGGCGGCCTATAAACGTACAACACAAGGATTTCTCCAGGGGTTGGGGCTGGGTTCAGGGAATACAGGAAGGCTGATGACAAGGGATAGGGATAACTCCTAATCTCTGAGTCCTGGGCCAGGCTGAGGGTGAGCTGGAGGTTCTTCAAACTGAGAGAGTCATGATAAGGAACCTTTTAAAAGTCTTTTTAAAAATATTTTATTTTGAGGCAGGGTCTTGCTAAATTGCTAAATGGTTCAGGCTGGGCTCAAACTTGTGTTCCTTCTGCCTCAGCCTCCCAGACTGCTGGGATTTCAGGCGTGCTCCATGTCCCACATAAGGAATTTATGGTTTTATTTGTGAGTTGGGCTTTCCACCCCTCTGCTATTTGAGAACCATCATCACTTATATTTTAAAGCCAGAATAATTATTACTTGCTTAATATTCTTCCTTTAAATGGCCCTTTAAAACTTAAGTGTAAGAGGAAAGAATTTTTGTATCACCACCTTAACAGGAACCAGAGTCATTTGCAAGGCAGTAACTATAAAATTAATTATTTACTAGTACTAAGTGCTTCCACGTACTCACTGTTGCAAATATCGCCTGTGACTTCTTTAATCTCCACAACATTGTGATTGTTAGTATTTTTCCATTGTACAGGGAACTGGGGCACAGAGAGGTTAGGTAACTTTCCTGATCTCACACAGCGGTAAGTGGCACAGGAGGTTTTGAAGTCACTGGATTTTTCAAGAGCAGTTTAAAAACTGTAGTTGAAGGCCGTATCCTACTCCATACACAGACGTTGTTCACTGTTGGCTCAAACACGCAGACCTGTGCACACAGTAACAGTTGTTCCCTTAGTTCCCTTGACACCCTGACCTCTGGGCAGCAAGACCACGGGGTCATGGGTGGTCTGCTCACCCCGCAGGTCTAGCTGGGTGCGTTTATTCTTTTTGTTTTTATGTGTTCATTGCTGGGGATGGAAGGTAGGGCTTCACACAAGTTCAGCAAGTGCTCTGTCACTCCAGCCCTTCCTTTATCTTCCAAAGGCTGCACTTTAGGCTCAGGGCTCCCCGCTGCCCACTCCCAGCTCAAGAGACCTCAGTAAGTTCTAGTGCTCACCTGGTGCCCAGAACAGTTTTGGGTACAGGAGGCCAAGACTCAGGCCCCATCTTCCTTCCAGACTGTGGACAGGACCTGTATGAGCAGGATTCTGGCCGGGCCTGGAGACTCTATAGGCCAGGTTACAGGGTGGCTTTAGGGAAAGGAAGAGACACTTTTCTGTCTGACACTGGGGGTGGAGATCCTGGAGGAGTCATGGACAGGGAGCCTGTTTCCTTGGGCCCCTGGTGACTAAGGCAGCAAAAAGGCAGGGGTCACTGCCTGGGTTGGGTCTGCTCCTTCCTTTCTCCAGGAAGACCACGCTTCTCTTCGGGTAGGTGATGGCACTCCAGGGCAAACTCTACGGGGCGGAGCCTCACCGGCGGCGGGGCTCCTTCCCCCAGTCTCCGCCCCACGTAGGGGTCTGTAGTCCCATTCTATCAGGTGGTGGTTGGGAGCACGGCGTGAGAGCCAAGAGCATGGTCAGCCAGCACCCACCTCCTCGTCTCTGGCGGCCCACAGTCTTAGTGACTCCTGGCCGGGGTCGGGCAGCCTAAACCTACACAGCCCTTGCTCACCCGCGTCGCAGCCTTGGTACGCGCCACCCGGGCGGATCCGGCCGAGCTGGGAACTGCTGGTCCTGGGGCGGGTCCTAGGGCTCTGAACCGCTACCCTCTGCCCAACAGAGGACTACATCCCGGCCTAGAAAAGAGGCAGCTGGGAGCACAGAATGGGGAGGCGGTGCTGCTGGCGGCGGCGCGGGTTGGTGACCGCGTGTCTAGGCGCCGCGTTCCTGCTCCTGTGCACTGCGCCCCGCGCCCTCCGCCTGGGTGAGTGCCCGCCCAGTCTCTCCGCCCCCGACCACCTGCAGTCCGACCTCTGGAGGGTCTTGGAGGACACCTGCCTTCTCCTCCCCAGCTGGGGAGCAGGAATGGTAGGAGAGGGGCTGGTAGGGCCCAGAAAAGCTGTAGACGCACGCCCCAGCAAGAATCTTGCGAGCCCTCAGAACTGACCTCCCAGTCCCTGGGAGAGGTGACCATTCCGGTCCGCAGCCTGTACTTGGAGGCGAAGGCCATTTGTGGGTGGTGGAGGGCATTTGGCTTTGCACTTCACTCTCAGCCTTGAGAAGCCCCTCCATGTAAGCTATGTAAGCCCCACCACGTAAGCTCTTTGATAGGGGCAGCTTGATGTTCTTGCTCCTGTTATCCATCTGCGCCATCTTCTGTGTCCTGGAGCGCTCTGCCCCACCCTGGGAAGGGCTGTGCTGAACCCACTGAAGGCCTGATTGGGGGGAAACTGAGGCAGCCAGCCTTGACTCTGTGGGGCTGAGTGCCTGGGTCATCTCAAACCCTCTTATCAACCCATTTCTGAAGGAGGAAACTGAGACCAGAGAGGTTGAGGGACTAGTGTGGATGGCTAAGTTCCAGCTCCATGATCTGCCTGGATCTAGGGTGTTAGGGAGCACCTTAATCTGGGTGGCTGTTTTTCTGTGTGTTTGTGTGTGTGTGTGTGTGTGTGTGTGTGTGTGTGTGTGTGTGTGGTCTTTGCTCACTCCCCTACCTCCAGTGTGAGCTCTTTGAGAACCTGGGATCTCCCAGATGGTCCCACTCTCAAGCATCCATAAGGACAGTGGAGTAGAGGGGTTGAGGGTGACCCAAGACTTGAGGCCCAGGAAGCTGTTTTCAGGGTGGCACTTACCTGTGGAGGAATCCAGCTGGGTCCAGGCAAGTGGACTGAAAGTCACTCAACAAACCTTACCTGCTAGGTGGCCTTCCTTCCCATTTCATGCCTTCAGTGATCCCACCTATAAAATGGGTACTAAGTCCTTACAGGGTATCTGGGAAAGAAACCTTAAATATGGTAACAGGCAAGAAGAAGGTACTTAGTCCCAAGCCTCTAATTTTGCTGATTGCAATTCTTTGGAGCTACACTAAGCTCCCCCCAACCCAGGGTGGGAGCTTTCCTCTCTCTCCTCCTCAACTTTCCCTGATTGCCAGTAGGGTGGCGGCTAGAGTTTGGTTAGCAGGTAGGTGTGCAGAGCTTTGGGAAGCCTCCTCAGTGCTCATAAGATCTTGTCTCATTCCACCTTCCATGTGACCATGGCCCTGCTATGCCCACCCATGGTTGCCTCCCCAAGCCTGTGGGAAGGAGGTAAAGTCAGTCTTTCCAGCCCCTGTCCCCATGGCCCTGTCTGTGATCTGGCTGTTAGTGTGCAGGTGCTCATCATGTCTTAGCAGAACAGAGTGTCCTCTGGGGCAGTCTGGGTGTGGTCCCAGTGTCTGTGGCTGTCACAGTCTCTGTCCACCCAGTCATTCAGTTGACAAATGTTTACCTAGTCCTGGAACAGGGCAGGGCACAGTGGTTCCAGCTTCTCAGGGATCAGCCCCTAATTGGTGTGAGAGAGAAGACACTCAAATGTCTGGGTCCTGGGGAGCTGTCTGCAGAGGGGCATGCATCTTTGAGTGACACTCTGTGCATTGTCATTGTGTCTCCACATCTCCATGGGACACCTTTCTCCTGCCACCTCCTTTGCCCAGGTTTAAGAGAGGTAGCCAAGGTTACCTGGGTTCTGCTCCTTTGGACCTCCCTCCTCTCCTGCAAAACCCAGAAGATGGCCCTGTGGGAGGAAGGGAGAGCAGGTGTTAAGAAGGTGACTCATATTCTTCCTTCCTATTGTTTGCCCAGGCTGTATCTCAGCACTCATAAGATCTTGGGTCATTCCACCTTGTATATGACCATGGCCCTGCTATGACCACACATGGTTGCCTCCCCAAGCCTGTGGGAAGGAGGTGCCTAACCTGCCCCAGCTGCCCTGCTGCATTTCTACCCTTGGCTATGACCTTCACACTCAGCAGGTTTGTCTCACTCTGTCTGGCCTGGGAGGTCCCTGCTGACCCCTACTTCCATTCTTTCTGGATTGAAACAGCTCTTTTCTCCTGTAGAGGAGCCCTTCCCACCTCCCAGAATCTCTGTTTCTATTAGACTCTCTTAGACCCACAACCTGTTTCCAGCCTTCCAAACTTGGCAGGCAACCTGAGCAAGCAAGAGTTAATCAAACTGACTCATCCAAGCACCCCCCTGGCTCTTCTCCCTCCCAAACCCCAAGCTGAAGCTCTTGATCTCAGAGGCCTTCACTGGGTGGCTCACTGGGAGGGGAAATGGCTTCAGGGAAAGGCCTGTCCCGCTGCAGGAGGACCCACTGCCCATGACCTCAGTGAGGCTTGGTGTCCCTGTAGCCATGTCCAAATTAGAAGGGGCTGATAGGGTGTGGTTTGTAGCCAGTGAGGGCCAGAGTCCTCTTGGGCACAAGGGCTCCAGGGCCCAGAAACAATTTTAACCTTTTGTTTTTTTTTTTCTGGTACTGGGAGATCAAACTGAGGATCTTGTGCTTCCCAGGCAGGCGCAGCACCACTAAGCTACATCCCCTGCCACTTAGGCTCAATTTCTACCTATTGTCCTAGGCAGGTAGCCTGTCACTGTCCTGTTCTTCTTCAGAGTAGGAGGTGTCACTCTGTTGGGCAAGGGAGCACTGAAGGGCTGCCAGTTCAGGCCTGGGCTCCTGCTGCCCCAGGGATCCCAGAGACCTTTTAGTTTTGGGGAGCATTCCCTTGAGATCTAACACCAACAATGACCTAGAGCTCAGGGTCTGGGGAGGAGGGGCACTGCCTAACACCCTGCTGTCCTCACACTCTCACCACTGGGGTCCCTGTGGCAGCTCCACTGTCATCCCCAGGGTCCCCTCCTGCCTTTTTGTTCCTTGGTTTCCCTGCCCTGACATTATGGTGACTGTGCTTCCTGTGGTTGGGTGTGCCAAAGACCACAAATGTGCTCGGTGCCTTTTGGTGCCAAGTGTCTCTCTAGGCCAGTGATGGCAAACCTTTTAGAGTTTTCAATGGTAACAGCCTACTGCGGCATGTGTACCATTGGTTTGCCACCACTGCTATAGGCACTGGGAAATGGTGAGGAACAAAACTCAACAAATATCTCTGTCCTCACAAAGCTTATGTTTTTAATATTACCACCCCAAATCTCTACTCTGTATCCTTTATCCCCAAGACACACCCACCAAAAGCCATGATGGTGACATGTTAAATCCCTCCCTGGCTGCTCTACTGTGCTAGACCCCACCCTCCCTGCCCTGCCCTCCTCTCCTTTTCCACAACCTCTAGAATGTCACAAGTGTTCCTCAGAACCAGTGTAAGCCTCAGGTGACTTCCAGATGGCCCTAAAGTTGGGCTCAGAGGAGGGATGGCATGGAAGGGAGTGGGGCAGAGAGAGAAATGGCATATTTCCAGCAGAGGCCCCCAGCTGCCTCCTTCAGAGGCTGCTGCCCTCTTCTTCCAGGCCTTGTACCTTTTCTGAGAGCCCAGCACTTCCTGTCCAGAAGTAACATGGGTTAACACAGACCTCCTTCCACATTCTTCCTGGAGAGGGTGAGAGGAGGGATCCAGGAGCCTCAGGCAGGTTTTCTTCTGGAGGGCAGTCAGGTGAGTTAGCAAGAAGAGCGGGAGTAGCTGCCAAATCCACAGTGGCCCACCCTGCTGCTGGAGTGTCAGAGGCCCCTTCAGAAAGCACTCTGAGTAAAGGCCAGCTGGCAGGATGGGTGGCTCAAAAGAGTAAGAATCAGAAATCCCATTTTGCAGCGGAGATAAACTGAGATCAAGGAAAAGGAAGACTTACTCAAGACAGGAAGTTTTGCGGCTAGAAATTAAATCATAAACTAAATCTGAAGTGATTAGCCTTTCCACTCCATACAGCAGGGGCATTGGGTTGAGAAATGAGGAAAGGAAATTGCAGACAGAAGGAGTAGCACAGACAAAAGCATGAGGGAATAAAATGGCCTGTGGGTAAAGCTCAGGATCCCTCAAGTGATGGGGTGGGAGCCAATAAAGTACTGTAAGTTGGGGCTGGGTCATGAATGGATTTGAATGACAAGCTAGGAGTTGGGATGCTCTCCCTATGGCCATGAGGCACTCTCAGTCTTTAAATAAAGTCATTAACATTGGCTGAGGTGCAGGAGTTATGCGAAGATGAAATAGTCCCATTTCCTTATAGAACTTACCTTGTCAGAGTTGTCAGCCCACATATAAATCAGATGATTTCAGCACTGATGAGTGCCCTGAATACATTAAAAGGAGAGCAGTCACGGTAAGAAACTGCTGTAGAGTGCTGTTTTAAAATGGTTGGAGAGGCTTCCTTTGCAATATTTGAGTTAATGTCTGATCAATGAGAAGCATCTACCCATGTGAAAATTTCCAGAAAATCATCTCAGGCAGCGGTAACAGCCAGTGCAAAGGCCCTGAGGCAAAAGGGAAGACTATTGTGGCTAGAGCTGAGTGAGCTGGTGGGAAGAGTAAACCTGTGTTGGAGGGGCCCTGGGAAGGAATCTGCTGTGAGCCAAGCAAGTGGGAAGCCAAGTAGATTTTGAGATCATTAAGTGGACTAAGTGGAAATAGGAGACTGGTGAGGAGGTTTCAGTGGGTGTTCTGGGAAGCTGATGGGAGCCTGGCCTGGGCTCGCTGTGATGGGGTGAAAGTAGGGGTGCTGAGAGTTCTAGAGGAAGAGCAGATGGGATGATACCTAAGAATGATCTGGTCAGATCAGAGTTCTTTCCATTTGGTTTATGGGAAAAAATGATCCTGGCTCAGGCAGCCAGCTCGCTCCTGATAGCCCCTTTGGGGAAGGAGTGGAGCAGTGAAGACCCTGGTGGCTGCTGGCCAAGCTGTTCATGG